GGAACAAAACTTTGAAAAGGTAGCGCTACCCGTCACTTATTGTAAAAGTATGGTTAAAATTACATCACAAATATAAAAACATCAAATTTTATTTTTTTTAATGTTTTTACTACAGAGTGTGTGTGTGTGTGGCAGGGGTTATGACACGTCAGTAGAATATCTTCCTATGTTAATGAGGACCACCCGTATCTTCCATCTACTCTCATAGCCCCCCACTACATCATTCCCAACTTGTGTGTGTGTGAAATCTTATAATTTACCACTTTCTCAGGTTTTATTATATTAAAACTTGAAATTGACTTCTGTATCTATATGATAACTTTTGTCAGATCAATCTGTGATAGATATAAATGTAATACAAGAACATAAAGTGGCCTACAGGTATAGGTGACCTATAAATAAACAGGTCATAGGTTTGAATATCAGATGTTGCTGAAAAGGGACAATATTTTATATAACTTTTTTCCAGTCCTTATTATGCTAAGATCTTTATACATTGAAAGTGTTTATTTTTTTTATATTAATGTCCCATCTACTCAAAGCTCAATGAAAGAACAGCAACAGTGAAAATTTATGGTTGCTGTTTACTTCCCTTCCATACATGTATACATGTACACTTAAATCTACACTTTGTAACAAATAAATACTACATCACAAGTACCCAAAACTGTTTAATTTCAACCATTAATGACACAATGAGACCAACAACACATTTACATATTTTAATAGCTGGTAAAGTCTAAATATTTGGACGATATAAAACTAGGTGGCAGTCATCCAGTGTACGAAAATGTACTTTAAAAAAAAGAGATCAACTATTATACAGGGATCAGATATGAAGAAAATTTTGATAAAACAACAGATAAGAACAGTAAAGTTAAAACCTGTTTCTTTCATTTTATTTCTCATTTGATTGTGAGGCAAGCTGTGCAGATATGGATTATTTACACCTGGTGACCTTCTCATACACAATATGTTCTAGTACATCATCAGACCAAAGGTGACTGAGGTCTCTTGTTTTTTCCCCCTTGTTCTTGATGACTTAATCTTTCTATTCAACTGTTAGAGTACTTGCTAGCGTGATAATAACAAAACTTAAACCACCAGCATAGTGAGACCACCATGCTATATAAATAAGCAAGCTCTGACCACCTTCTATACTGCTCTAATATGGAAATCCCTTAAAATTCGATTGAATTCAATATGATATGTTTTTTATGTGTATATTTCCCTGAATAAATCAATTCAAACTGTTACAAAGTCAAAACAGACAAGGTACAGAATGTTATTAGTTATAGCTATTCAAGCAAGAAATTAATATTCTTTATCAGTAAAATTTTAATAATGATCCTTGGAATCTTTCACACTTTAAATTATGAAAAACTGAATTGTAATAAAGAAAGTAAAATCATCAGGTAAGCTGTTACAATACATTCAAATCAGTACCTTCACTCGTTCAGCCCATCATTTGTTATAATGTCAGCAATTTTATGAGTATAATTTCACCAAACTAAATAATTATATCTTAAAAATCCCTGGAATGATCAAAAGATATTGCTAAATGAAAGAACAGCCCATGATTTCTTGATGACAAAGTCCGAAATATAGTAGTAAACCGAGTATTAAATCATATTTTATGACAAAGATATAGCAAATGGCTGCTTTTTATTGTAAAATGTCAAGTAAAGGTTGAAAAGAATTAAGGAAATAACAAATTTTCAAAAACAAGAAATTGTCTGGAAGGGTAAAAAATTATATTTTGTGCTGTTTATAAATGTTTGCAATATGTGGTAAAAATTGCCAGCTGTAGTTTTTTAGTAGTCAGGGATATCATCAGTGGCTTCATTGACAAACTAGAGTAGATAATAACTGAATATTATGCTTTTATTTAACATACAAGCTGAAACTAAAACTATAATAAGTTGGGTTTTTTTCCAAGTCAAAGCTAACATTAACTGAATAAAATAATTATCGTATTCTCAGCTATGACATTATTTACAGCTACGATATCCAAGTATTTCTACTGGATGATTTGCAAATGTTACTTTTGAAACAGCCCACACCATAACAAAAAATACCAATACAAGGGAAGTAACTTCAATTTACTAAGTTCCAAATCATACACTGATTATTCCCCTTGTAGTATTAACTTGCAAATGCTTACTCAACACAAATGTAAAGCCTGACTGTGTATAAGCATTTAACCATCACCACTTAGAAGTTTACTTGGATGTCTAAATAATTGAAAGATACAAACTGATATCTGGTTTGATTTTGATATCACAAAATATTGTACAGAAGACAGGTCCTAAAATTATCCAGTGAGATTGAGAGATATGTAAAAGTACAGAAACAGTGTCACATGTTTTTATTTTAATTGAATAGAAAAAAACAATGCCAGATGTGACAGTGTGAGAACAATATGCAGTCTGAACTTGACTTGAATATGAGACCCTTTGATTATTGTTCTGCAGTTCTACCAGAACCTTCTGAGCTAGCTACATATGTATCTTTATTTACTTTTTCTCCTATAACAAGTTCTAAGTTCTATATTGTGACATATTTCCATTTTATCCTCATTTTTTTTATGGGAATAGAGAACGATGTGAATTGACCTGGAAGTGGTACTGTCATGGTCCCACATCGGGAAAACATGGAAGAAAATGATACAAGAATAGTTCCTATCAATCAGCATAAAAACATATTTTCATCCTTGGAAACAAAAACTGAAAATTATCCAATGTTGCTGACATAGTGTTTATAACTGTTTATAAGTGTTTTCTATTTAGTACATTTACCTGTGCACCAACATATATGCGAATTAGCAAATTACAATTCCTTCCTAAAGCTTGACATAGACAACAAATAATGGATAAGTACAAAAATCAATTTAGTGTCATCGGTTTTTGACGTAAATATCTTTATATGAAGTACTGGTTTATATATCTTCATAAAATTGTATACAATGTGATAAGGCATTTATAAATGTTTATATTTATGATTACATGTATATGTTTTTTTCATATTGTTGACCAGTATGTTTACTTTAAAAACAATTATATTTGATGAGAAAATTATCATTACATTACACATTATATAGGAAATAACTTATAATTTATACATTTTGTCAAGGGAAATGAATACTTCACTACATATCTTTGAATAAAATAAAATAAGTGTATGAACATCTTAAAATAACATACTTAACATAAGCCTGCATGAATGATCATTTTAAAGTTAAACAACACGATCATTATATAACTTTACATAATATTTTCTGTAAATTCATGTTCATTATTATTTTGTATAAAGTATAGAACTACAACAAACATATTAATTTTTATTCTATATTATGTAGACCTACACAAGGAAATATTATTAAACTTATTAAACCTATCACAGAGTAAAAAAGTTTTTAGACCTAAATCTGCTTCAAAACAAATATCAATGTTCATACAAATCCAAGGGCAAAAACTCTAACATTTTCAAAGATAAACTATGCTTATCTTTGGGTAAAGTACTTTTATTGCAAAATCTAAAATATTCTTCTTGAATATGCTTAATTTTGAATAAGTACTAAATAAGTACATTCTGTATTATTAACTAATATTGAATAGAGTTTATAATGTAACATATCTTATATGTGTATACTCAAACGATGTTTATTTAACATGTAAAAAGAGACTATATAGCTATAATCAGTATTTTCATATATCAAATTTGAGCATAATTTATAAGAAACCATAGTCAGATATTTTTTCAAAGATTTTGGGAACATGACCCATACCCTTGGAGTTAAGATTTTCAGCGGTATTTTGTTAAAAATTGGGAATAAATGCATGATCAAATGGATGCAAACAAGTACTGTCTATGATGGCATCTTCAACCATTTAAGCAACATAACAGTGAAGAAGTCCTTATTTGCAAAGATTTTAGAATTTTTATTCAATATTTTTATTTTGTAACTTTCAATTGGGAATTTTTTCCTGTGGATTGGGAAAATATAATATACTATTTTCAATTGGGAATATGACCCAATAACGGCTCTAAAACAAGCCAAAAAAAATCCCCGATAGTAAATGTCTATACTGTTAGTCAGCTTTGTTTATATATCCCAACACATTTGGTCACAAGCATACAAACAGGAAACAAATACTTTCATCATTTTCCAAAATATAAATTGATAAACAGATTATTTGACTTTAAAATCTAACCCTGTCAAACATTTCTTACTCAATTTTTGAGTATTTTCATTCTATCAATTAATATAATAATCAGACTTTACAACGTTTCAACGTAATTAGTCTAACTATTCATCCAACATGAAAAATCAAAATTATTTGAAGCATATTTTCCAACAAATTATTTTCCATCACAGACCATTACATTACATAAAGATTTTAACTTGAAATCTTATGAGACCTTTCCATTTTTCAAATTCTTTGGTACATCTAATTTGAGCCGCGTCATGACAAAATCAACATAGCGTGTATGCGACCAGCATGGATCCAGACCAGCCTGCGTATCCACGCAGACTGATCAGGATCCATACTGTTCGCTATCAGTATCTCTACTTTTAATAGGGTTTGTAAGCGAACAGCATGGATCCTGATCAGACTGCGCGGACTTTGGTACTTCTAATTTATTTTATTGGCACCACATTGTCATTGTATACAATCCTGTTTAATCAGCACATCATACTTTCATTGTGTAAAGATTCAGAACATAATTTCAACCACTTAGTTAGTGTTTGTTAAGTCAGCATTCATTCCATCAAATCTGTTGAGCTGCTGTGGCATACCACAGAGATTTTATTTAGCTTATGCTGACAAACAGACACTATCTTCTACATAGATCATTCTTTACTCACTATCCCAATGTCTCATGTTTAAATTGTGTATACAAAAAAAATAATGTTAACACTGCCTTGCATAATTATGTTAATCAACATTTTTATTATTGCCTTATATAATATTACAAGCATGAATAGTTGTACATACCTCCATGACGGTAGCATGAAGCTCCTGGCTGTACGAGACTTTCTTGGCGAGCCACGTTTGAGTGAGTTCACATATCAGAGATAATAGGTTACCCATACCGTCTCCAGAATGTGCCGACGTTGGTACCAATGATATATATTCCTTAGGATTCTTGTTCTCGTAAAATAGTGCAGCGTTCAAACCCTAAAATATATTGTGAAAATCATGATTATATACCAAATAAAGATGAAAATCATGATTATATACCAATATCAAGTTGTAAATCATGATTATATACCAAATCAAGACTTATTCGAGTTATCTTATTCATAACTCCATGAAAAATAAAGTGATACATAACAAGTCAATTCCATTTAAACCAATTAGCACTAGAACCTAAGAATTTTAAAAGGAAAGGTCATCAAGATATAACTCGTTGAAGACAGAACTGCCACACATACCTGTTCAGCTAGTTGTGTTATCACAGCCTGTGACCTCTCGTCATATTCTTGTTTACACATCTGTGTTTGTTTCTTTATTACATTTACAACATCACTATTAGGGTTACTCTTCCACTGATATAATCTGTCTATCTGTAATCAATCAATTCTATCAATATTCTTTTATAACAGGAAATAAAATATACCAAATTGTTTTAGGTGGTCAGATAATATGGTATGACAAAATCCATAGTTCCCATCAGTATTTCTCGACTCCTTGTCTCTGTCAGTAACTCTATCTTTTGATTTAAACAAGAGGGCTAGGAAGCACAAAAAATCTTTTTCAAATTTATTTTAATTTATTAATTATTCTTCATATATATTTAACTTTGAAATACCCAAGTTGATCTATTTATCATTTAAGAATTACAAATTTTATGTTTTTAGCAATTTGGACCTTATTGAAGCTCCAAAAATCAAAAGAAAGATATAGAGGATATTTGTTTGTTTGTGTGTAAGATGAAATTTTATTTCATCGAGTGGGCTTTAAAAACAGTATTCTCACGAGTGGCGTAGCCGCGAGTGAGAATACTGTTTTTAAAGTTCACGAGATGAAATACAATTACATCTTACACAACAAACAGACAAATTTTCTTTTTATTTTATGCTTAAAAACAAGTTAAAACGAAATTTCCATAATTTTAACGTTAATATTAAAATCTGTTTCCCCCATTGAGAGCCCCATTTAGACAGAATTTCTCATTTAAAGCAAGAAGTCTTGAGCTGAAAAATAAGTCCGCCAATCACGGTTAAATGACGGTGATATTTATTCATTTTATTAAAAAAATATGAATGATCGCTTGTTTTAATAATAAAAACAAACAATTCTTGTAGGAGAAAAAGTCCAACCATCCATCCATATTTCTGTTACTTACTGCAAATTTATATTAGACCTGGCTTTGTAAAATGTAAGCGGCAGCCATTTTTTAAAGTTGTGTATTTCATGGGAGGAAAATAATTGTGTAAGATTCAGAAGGATATAATTTGGATTTGTTAGTCATACACCTTTTTAAAAGAAAGAAAACTTATTTGAGGATTGTAACAGACAAAAAATAAGTGTTGACAGAAGTGAAAACATTCAGAAAAGGAGCTAGGAAAATGGAAAACTTGGAAGCTTGCATAAGGACATGAAGGAACGCTGGGTTGTTTTACTTATTTTACGAGTGATGGCTGTCAATGCTTTTCAAGTTTTCATAAAGCATACGGCAGTTATTGCTCGTAGGATACTTTAATATGCCCAAATGTCATCAAGAGCAGTTTTGCATGGGGAAGGAATGTATTTTTCAGACTGTAAAAACAAACAAAAAAATTTAGAGACAAAATTTGGTAATTGGAATTTGAAGGAATAGAAGTAAGTTTTCTCTCTTTATTACTTTTGACATTTAAGTTATTTATCTATCTCTGCTTTGCTATTTCTTTTAACAGCCTGACATTGTCAGAATTGTCAGTAAAAATAAAATTGAGGTACCACATGGGGAAAATCTTAAAAAAGTAGTTTCGTCATTGAAAAAAGTGAAATTATATTTTGATAATTTTCACTGTGAAATTATCAAATATAATTTTCACGGATAAATCAGTAATCCACTGAAAAGCATAAAATAACAAGAGCTGTCCGTAAGACAGCGCGCTCGACTTTTTTATTGCTTGCCAATAAAAAAAGTTTTTGCAGTAAAAGGCAATACAAGAATCTCTGTATTTTTAAAGTGAACAATGGCCATGAGCATTAAGATATTTAGTGAAGAATTATTTTACTGAATTGTGTGATACCCTTGAACACTGCAGCAAAGTTTGAAATGTTTAAGTCAAAAGAGGGCTGGTAAGAAAGAAAAAAAATTAATATCTCAAACAGTTCAGTCAAAAAGTGGACTGGTACTAAAAACTTAACCAAGATTCTAAGTCGATAAAAGGCCTTAATTTTTAAAACAAATCCTTGACAGAGTTACCTTCTCTTGCGTACAGATGGGGGTAATGATGTGAAATAGCATTAAAAGTTTCAAAGCAATATCTCAAAGGGTTAAGGCAATAAGTGGATTTTACCCATATTCAATGTATTTTCTAAGTCAAAAAGGGGCATAATTCTGTCAAAAACCTTGACAGAGTTATGTCCTCTTGTCTGTTGATGAAGGTCGTGATGGTAAACAAGTATGGTCAGTTTCAAAGCAATACCTCCAATGGTTTTGAAATAAAGTGAGGTGGTACAAAAAACTTAACCAAGCTCAATACACTTTCTAAGTCAAAAAAGGGCCATAATTCTGTCAAAAACCTTGACAGAGTTATGTACTCTTGTCTGTAGATGGAGGTTATGATGGTGAACAAGTATGGTAAGTTTCAAAGCCATACTTGTAATACTTCTGAAATAAAGTGGGGTGGTACAAAAAACTTAACCAAGGTGTGACGCCAACGCCGACGCTAACGCCGACGCCGGGGCGAGTAGGATAGCTCCCCTTTTCATAGAAAAGTCGAGCTAAAAATGTAATAATACATGGACTTACTTTATTTAATGCAACAACAAATGGCGTCTTCTTGTCTTTGAGTAAATTGATAGATTCTATAGTTTGAGGTTCTAATCCATGCATAATATCTATAACAAGAATGGCTATATCACAGAGGGATGATCCACGTGAACGCAGATTACTGAAAACAAGAAATAATATATACATGTATATAAACAATCTATTATTACTTACTTAAGATTGGCCAAATCATTCTTAGCAATTTATTGATATATTTTATTATAACTAAATATTTGAGTTATTACTAAAAGTTATTACATATTCAACAAGAGCTGTCGGTAGGACAGCAACGCTCGACTATTCTTAGTGCTTGATAGTAAAAAAAATGCTTGATAGAGTTACCTCCTCCTGTTTACAGGTTGGGGTCATGATGGTGAACAAGTGTGCAAAGTTTCAAAGCCATATGTCAATGGACTTTGAAAATATTTGAACTATTACAAAAACTTTAACGTAAATTCTAAGTCGAAAAAGGGGCATAATTCTGTCAAAATGCTTGATAGAGTTACCTCCTCCTGTTTACAGGTTGGGGTCATGATGGTTAACAAGTGTGCAAAGTTTCAAAGCCATATGTCAATGGACTTTGAAAATATTTGAACTATTACAAAAACTTTAACGTAAATTCTAAGTCGAAAAAGGGGCATAATTCTGTCAAAATGCTTGATAGAGTTACCTCCTCCTGTTTCCAGGTTGAAGTCATGATGGTGAACAAGTGTGTAAAGTTTCAAAGCCATATGTCAATGGACTTTGAAAATATTTGAACTATTACAAAAACTTTAACGTAAATTCTAAGTCGAAAAAGGGGCATAATTCTGTCAAAATGCTTGATAGAGTTACCTCCTCCTGTTTTACAGGTTGGAGTCATGATGTTGAACAAGTGTGCAAAGTTTCAAAGCCATATGTCAATGGACTTTGAAAATATTTGAACTATTACAAAAAACTTTAACGTAAATTCTAAGTCGAAAAAGGGGCATAATTCTGTCAAAATGCTTGATAGAGTTACCTCCTCCTGTCTACAGGTTGGGGTCATGATGGTGAACAAGTGTGTGCAAAGTTTCAAAGCCATATGTCAATGGACTTTGAAAATATTTGAACTATTACAAAAACTTTAACGTAAATTCTAAGTCGAAAAAGGGGCATTATTCTGTCAAAATGCTTGATAGAGTTACCTCCTCCTGTCTACAGGTTGGGGTCATGATGGTGAACAAGTGTGCAAAGTTTCAAAGCCATATGTCTATGGACTTTGAAAATATTTGAACTATTACAAAAACTTTAACATAAGTGGTTACGCCGACGCCGACGCTCGGGTGACTGCAATAGCTCTACTTATTCTTATCGAATAGTCGAGCTAAAAAGAGAATGGTTTACAGCTAAAATGAGTCATGTTTTATTAGTATAAGGCTAACATTAGCGCGCTTTAACGCTATGTTTATATATAGCGCAAATGACGTCACTAGTGTTATATCGTTTTTATTAAATGGCTTTATTACAAGCCTGCGCTAAAGTTTGTCTGCCAATGAAATTACTCATTTATTTAAATTTTGACAAAATATTTTCCATACAGAGCTGTAACTCAACTTTATGTATTAAATCTATATGTTAAATGAGCCGATTTAATGGACTCTATTTACACAATGCACTCTATTTGAATGGGCGTGCCTAACTGTAAGTCAATTTAATATATGTTATATATAAGTTTTAAGAAACTAATTTTCTCGCTTCACTTCATTTGCTCGAAAATTAATTTCTTAAAAATTTCCTGAACAGACTTGTTCAACCAACTATTATTTTGAAACAGTCCATTATCAAATATAGTGACCTCATGATGACACTTTAAAATTTTGTCAGCTATCAGAATGGAGCCTGTATCATACTGCATCGACTTGCTAGCAAGCACGGCTTTTATACTAGTGGCAAAGTATTATGCAGTTTTAGATAAGGTTAAACATACAGCAATTACTCACCTGAAAGACTCGTGACCTGGTGTATCTATAATAAGTAAACCTGGTAACTTTAAACCTTTTTTCTGGAACTGAAGGAAAATCATATATTAAATTTATTTTTGCATCATTTTAACTTAAAATAAATAGTAAACAATTATTGAATAAGAAAATCTATACTGATATTTTCTTTTGGGCAGGTTTCATGCCAAATGAACTGTGGTAAAGTTACAGGTCTACTTTTCAAGCTTCATGTAATAATTAAGGAAAGTTTACAACCAAACGAATAAGCTTTTGGCAAGCTGGAACCAACATAGGTGAAGGGAGAGTAACTTTGTTCATTTTGTCAAATGAGCCTCTTGAAATTAAAAAATTCACAGCAATTTTCTTACTTTTTAATACGAATTTCTTTAGTTCATTATTTCAATATAGCTGAGTGAATAACTAAAATATCAATTATAAAGTGTATTGATTAAAAGAAATAACCAATTTATAAAATTGTTTAACAGCTACACAATAATTATTGCCCTGTCAACAATTTTTCAGTTAGCTACGAAAATGACAGACCTATCCTTATTTTTACATCCCAAACTTAACAAAGCATATGTGTGATACAATTCAGACCTAAAATATATTTGAGCCGCATCACAACAAAACCAACAAAGTGCATTTGCGACCAGCATGGATCCAAACTAGCCTGCGCATCCACGCAGTCTGATCAGGATCCATGCTGTTCGCTGTCAGTTTCTCTACTTGTAATAGACTTGGTAAGCGAACAGCATGGATCCTGATCAGACTGCGCGGATGCCCAGGCTGGTCTGGATCCATGCTGGTCTCAAATGCACTATGTTGGTTTTGTTGTGATGCGGCTCATTTCTTTTACACCAAATATAACAGGTGACAAACTTACTTCTTTGCACATAGTAGTTTTATCTAGAATAGCTTGATGGGGAACATTAGTAGCACCAATCTGTTGAGTTATTCCCCCTGCTTCACCATCCTGTACATTAGTTCTCCGTAACTGAAAAAATTAAAACAAAATCTTTAACATATTGGTATGGCACATGGTCTAAGGGGAATGTATAGTTTACAGTCAGATATGGCATTATCTAAAATACACTCCAGAATTAAACCCCCTGGGTCTATTCTAGGATAACACCATTTGACTCCAATGACTTTGCTCTGTATATGTAAAGCCTTCATTTGAGATTGTCAGTTTTAATCAATAATCCAAGTGAAGAAGTATACTGAGATAAGACAGTAAAGCCTTTCTGGTTTAATAAAGAATCAGATATATATACATGAGCTTGGAACCTTTTCCACACTGCAAATGGGCCAATATTTCTTCCCTAACTATCACAAGATTGTCCTATCCATGTATAGATAACCTGATAAAAAACTGCTCCATAGAAATGTAAACTGTACAGGTGAATGTTTTTAAAGTGACTTTCTTTGTTTACATTCTTAGTTTATTGGTTAAACAGTTTTACAGTGTTTGAGTCGTATCTATTATCATTATTGGATTCTAAAAACAGCACAGATACATTTACATAAATGCTGTTCTGAAAAGAACTCCCAATTTCTATATACAGTATGGTTCGTTATATAAATCGCAGGAAACATACTTAATTATACATTATCACAAGATAAAAACATAGGCAGCTGAAAAGACTCAAGTTACTGATACAAGGCCCTTATCCTTACTTAGCTGATGAGAATGTTTATTTGTTGGATTTTAAGCCATACCAAGTTACCAACATTGTAAAGGCCACACAGCACCTTTCTTGCTGAAACTGCTGGAGGAAGACCTCTGGTACCCTTTCAGGCATAAGGTAAGGAAACAATAATACAACAACATGACATATATTTTACAAACCTTGTCTAGAATCTTTGTTTTACCAGTATCCACATGTCCTAGTACACAAACAACAGGGGCTCGTAAATCTTCTACTGTTCTATTTGCCTCACACTTTTCATGTAATTTCTGGAGAAAAAAAACAACAACAAAAAAAAACAATAAATAAACATTTAGATCAAAACATTAACTAAACACAAACATTTAAAATGATGTTAATTCTCAAATAAAATGTCTTCCTTTTCCTTTTTTTTTTACTAAATGATATTTAAAGAGATTAACAGACTACTTAAGGACTGTAATAATGTGTTATGCATGTTATATTTCTTTGTTGGTATTCAATTATCATCAACATCACTAAATTCAATTGGTAACTTTTCATCTACATTGGTAGAGGATGACCCAAAATGACCCCTGTGGCAGCACTATTCTAGTAACAAATACTTGAAATAGGCACCTCAGTAGAATCACCAATTTCTGCAAAAAGCTGAATAGCTTTCTAATACCATCTTATATTTCTAGTAGGATTTTTTTTCACTGTAGTAAGCAACCCCTCTATAAAACTGTTAAACAGGCCCAGGTATAATATAAGTTCAAGGTGATGAATTTTTATCACAATGACATGAGTTCAGGCCTTGAGGTTATAAAACTTTTTCTGAGTTCTGTCTCAATTCTCAGGATTTTTTTGGGGCAGTGAATATTCTGTGGCAGTTTGTGACCAATCAAATACCAGAGATCTCAGTTTGAGCTTAAGGAATTTCTTAATAACCTCGGACAAAGGTCTGTATGCATATTTTTAGCTTCAGCTATACCAAAAGAGGGAGATCAAGGGCTCTTTGCATTATATCAAGGACATATTGGTACCTATTTCAACCACCAAAACATTATATTTTCAATGTAATAAGCAAGCACATATTCCCCAACCTTTAATTTAATCTCTGCCCTTTCATATGGTGTAAGATCATCATCACTCTCTGAATCCGATTCACTTTCATCATCATCATCATCTTCATCATCACCCTCGTCATCTGATTCCTCATCATCATCATCTTCGTCATCCTCATCATCATCTTCCACTTTTACTTCCACTTTTTTACCTTTAGCTTCAGCTTTGGTTTCTGAAATGTTCAATCATATTTAACATGAAGTTATATAAAATATACTTTATCTATGATATCACACATCATAAGTTTTACATTTTCTATACAGTTTAAAGTGGTAGAGCTGACCACAGGTGCCCCTCTATTGTTTCAGACACATAGAACTATTTACTTTATCTTACCCAGCTGAATGACTAACTATAGCTCCTGATGGAATTTAATAAGCATTAGAGTTCATTAATGATATGTAGGAACTAAGCACTGCATTCACATATAGAAATTATAATGCTTTTTTGAAGGTTGCATCATGCTCTAAATGGATATAAATATTTGATTTTTTTTTTGAACTTTTGCGTTAAATGCTTAACAGTTTTCACAAAATTTAAACCTTGCATACTTTTTCACATCAATTAAAGGCTTGCATAAAAACATAATTTTACAGCATAACACTATAAAGCAAAAAAATAAGATCTAAATGAGTATACTCATAAACAAAGCAATTCATACAAACCATTGTTACAAACACAGGTGTTTTTTCTTCTTCATAGATAAGATGACGAAGCACATGCCTATGTGAGCAGAAATGAGCCACGCCATAACAAAACCAACATAATGGTTTTGCGATCAGCATGAGTCCAGACCAGCCTGCGCATCGCCTGCGCATCCGCGCAGTCTGATCAGGATCCATGCTGTTCGCTATCAGTTTCTCTACTTGTTATAGAGTTTGATCCATGCTGGTCGCAAACCCATTATGTTGGTTTTGTCATGACGCGGCTTAAATATCAAAACATTTACCAGTTTCAGGTGATGATTCTTTTTCTTCTTCTTCTTCCTCCTCTTCTTCACTACTAATATCCCACTCATCTTTAATATCACTAACTTCTTCCTTCTCCTCTGTATCAACAACTGCCTCACTACTCTCTGCTTCAGGTGTCTCCACTATTGATGGAGCCTCTTCACTGACTGGGGTTTGAGCCGGGGTGTCTTCTGGAGACGGTGTCTTATCAGTTGGCTCGGAATCTGAGAATTATTATAATAGATTAAATTGCATTACAAACTGGAAACTAGTAACATTCTATTCAAACTTTACATCATAAATTTCTTTTATTCCTTTTAATGTAGTTACAAGAAAATTTAGTACAAGAAAATCTCTTTGGTATGAATGTATATTTACTGAATTGTTGTTTTTTTAGTGAATTCATTTTAGTTTGATTGTGTAGGAACCTAGAAGCTTAAAGTCACACTCCAAGATCCATTCCAGAAAGAAAGAAACCAAAGAAAGAAACCAGTCTTAAGTGATAAGTGTAAAGTTTCTTGTTCAAGGAAACAACAGCTTTCCCCTGTCAGGGTTCAAACCACACTGTTGCTGCTGCCACTAGCAATCCTAGCATGTGTTGAAGCGCAAGTTAATTGGACTAAATGGACCAATACAACAAGACATGGAGGCCGAAAATTTAAAAAGATTTTGTGAACATTTATAAAATTGAAAGATAAAAATGATTCACCATCTTGTTTTTGTTGTGGCTTCTTCTTTTTCTTCTCATATATAGGTCTCTTCTTCTTTGCCTCTACCACTTCCTCCTCTTTTGTTTTAATCTCTAAACCTGGTATTAAAACAGAAAATAATCTTGAAAGTCCCTGTACATCATATAATCTAACAGATACAAATGTTAGTAAAAAAGGAAAATATGACTGTCAAGAATAACAAAATAGAGGAACATATAAGTAGAACAGACACATACAAGATCTTTTGACAACTTTCCTGCTGTACTGGTGCAGCGAGACCTCATATGCCATAAATAAGTCAACGTTGATGGCTCAAAATTTTGTCAAAAACCTAATGTCTAGAAGATTTTTACACAAGTCCCTTCAACGTAAACTTACCCACAGCTCCACTGTATGTTTGCTTGTACAAACAAATTGATAACCTGAGCAGTAACATTTATATTTGAAATTCTTTTGGACGTATACTTAATCAGCAGCAGATGACAAACAAACTGCTAAACAAACATAAAAAACTATGACTAACTGGTGACATATATATGGAAAATATGTACTTTAAATACTGTATTAAAGTTTATACAAATTTATTTAGTTCAATTATGTTGGAAGCTATAAGCTTATTGAAACACTCTCGAATCCGTTCATGGAACCAACCAGTACTAAGCAATGAATGTTTACTGTATAAAAAAAGGGTTTTTAAAAACGGCATCTAACAACTTTACTTTATACTCTCTAAACTGTTGTTTTTCGAATTTTTCCTGTTTTTGTGTGCGTCGTAATTTTCCCCCGCTTTAACCCTTCTTTCCCTTTCCTTCTCTTTTTGTTTTAATTTCTTTTTTCCTTTTCCGCTTTTCTTAAAAAACAAAACCCAAATAAAAAATTTTTTGAAAATTCCCAAAAAAATTGCTAGGATAATGCCCTTTGCTATGGTGGTTTAAGTAATAAAAAAAATTTCCCCGTTTATGTTTTATAGTTACTTGTTTTTAAAACCCTTTAAAAACTTTTAATAAGGGGCAAAAACCGAAAATTAAAACCCTTTTAGTTATGCCCCCTTTTTTACAATGCACCTTTCGATAAAAAAAATTTCCCAAATTTCATTTGAAAAATTTCCAAAAAGTTTTTATGAAACCTTATTTTTGTTTTTTCAAGACCCACAATATAAAAAATCATAAAAATAACTTTCCTTTTTTTAAACTGAAATTTAAAAATGGTAAAGTTTTTCCTTTTCTATAGCAGCGCTATTGCCTTTCCCCCTTCCTTTTTCTTTTTCTCTCTTTTTTTAAACTCTTTTTTCCTCTTTTTGCTTTTAAAATTCTTAATAGCTGCCCCCTGAAATTTAAAACCTTTTTTAAATCACGTTTAAATTAGTAACTAATTTTTTAACTTTTTTTTTTGGTGACAAAAAATCTGTACAGCCAGTCTTTTTTTTTAAAAGTGTTTAAAAAAAACCCCTTTAAATAAAATTTTTAGGAATTTTAAATTAGTCTCTTGTATTTTCTTTTTTTTTTTTGAAAAAGGGTGTTTTTAATTTTAAAAACAATGAGTTCTTTTATTACTTAAATAAAAAACTTGGTTTTTCTTGAATTTATATTCAATGAAAAATCAAACATACAAAAAACAGTCAAAAAACAAGAAAAACTTCAGACTTACAGGGGCTTTAGACTTTTTAGGTTTTTCTTCTTTGTCTCCCTTTTTCTTTTTCTTCTTTTTCTTACCATCATCTTCTTCCTCCTTTGTTTCATCATCTCCGGATGCTGCCTTGTCTACACACACAAAGTATATACATGTAATTATATAGGATAGATATACACTCTATTTTTCATTTAACTCAATAAGTGACCATGATTCTTTATCGCAATAATGTTGAAATCAGTATGAAATTGCTCAGTTCACATTTCTATATGTAAAAGATTTTTCCCTTTTCGTTAGGTTTAAACAAGGGACCAACACAGTTTTGGTCATCCAACACATTATTTGTCATGGCGACTTCATAGCTTTACTGGTGAAAGAAGACCTCAGGTGCCCTTCTGTGCATCATTTCAGGCACAAAAAGGCCCCTGAGTTGAACAACCTATTTCCATAAGCTAATTGGATAGCTTCACCACATGAAAGAATCCAATGTCACTGTAGGGATAGGAACCTACACTAGTGAGGGGCAAGTAGTTAGAGGTCAACTACCTTAACCACTCTGCCACAGACCCCCCCTTAAAGTTTTTAAATGGGATTTAACTATAAATCATTTTCAAATATATGCTAAAGGTAAATTTGATCACACACCATCAAAATCGGACAGATCTTTAACATTTAGTTATACCACTGAAATATTTTCCACATAACTTTCCCGCTTCTCAGTATAAGAACATCCTAAAATATGATAAACAAGATCAATAAGGAAGGGCCATGTTCAATGAACGCAACCCCCACCACCGGCAGCTACAAAAACCAAAGAGAAACAGATCTGACAGAGTTACCAAAATAAATTATCACTGGCGACAATTTTATTTATTCTTTTTAAAACTTAATATTTCTTAAATACTGCAATATGCCATTAAGTTTACATGACAATACCTTCTGCTGCAGCACCTTGATCTTCTGTTTTTTCCTCTGATTTCGGTTCATCAACCTTTCCATCTTTCTTTAATGCTTGTTTCTTCTTCTGTTCCTAAAACAGTTACATCAAACTTTCAAAACCATTCATCTGAGACCAACACCTACCCGTTCTGTTTCCTGAATTGCTCAATTGCAGTTAAATTACATGAAATTATTTAGTACTGTTTTTTTGAGACATGTGGCTGCCTTTACTCCTTTTTTATAAAAAAAAGGTTGTGTTTTTTATCACACCAAGAAACAGCAATGTGAAATTTAATATAGACAAGAATAAATCATGTTTTGAAGCAGTAGCATTTAGACTATGAAGACAAACTTACTAATTTCTTTAATCTTTCCTTTTCCTTCTTTTCTTTTTTCTTCTGAGCTGCTGATTTCACAGTGCCACCTTCCTCTTCCCCTTCTCCCTCACCAGCTTTCTCTTCATCCCCATCTTCTTCTCCTTTCACTTCCTTCTTTACTTTATCTTTCTTTTTCTTCCTTTTCTTTTTATCATCCTCATCATCATCATAATCATCTATAGAAACAACTTTCGGCTCGACCTTTTCCACTTCGACATTCTCAACCACCTCATTTTCCCCTTCACCTTTCTCTTCTACTTCCATTGCTTCCTGTTTTTTCTTCTCCTTTTTAGCTTTTTTACTCATTTTAGGTGCATCAATCTCTGCAAGAAGAGCATCCAGATCTTCTTCTTCTGCTGTCTTTTGTTTTTCTTTACCTTTTTTCTTGTCTTTCTTCTTATCTTTTTTCTTCTGTTGCTCATTAACTTCTTCTTTTATCACAGGTTCTTCCTCATTATCACTTTGCTCACTCTGTAAAACACAAACATTTTACAGATACAAACTTACCTTCAGATTCATGCTAATTTTCACTGAAGTTGTGAAAATGTATTTAAAATTTAAATACTTAGAAGTGAACAAAGAAAGTAATATACTTATTATCAGTGATGCTTACAATCCATGTAAATTGACAAAGACAGGTCAAACTTTGCAAAAATAGCCCTTATTGTGTTAGTCACACATAGCAGTAGAAATATGCCAACAGATACTGCAAAATTATTCATTAATCGCACACAAGTAAATTTTTTTTAATTTTTCTTAAAATCTACATTTTTCTCAAAAGTGATTTTCTTGAAATAATTTGGCTCATCGGGAAGCATGCATCTTTAAAGGTTTATAAAATTCATATGTAAGTATTATTAAAGCAAAACTTTAGCAGGCAATGTCTCCAGTACAAATAGGAGAAAATGAAACTGATGGAAGCTTTTTTACTGCTCACTTTGATTTACAAATGTCTGGTTTCCTTGACGCGGTGGTCTTCAACTACAAAACATGCTATTGTTACTATCTGCATGTATGATTAGTTTTGGCTATATAACAGTGACCTGCATGTTTGTAACTTGGTTTTTACTAGATAAGTATGATGTTTATATAAACTTTTACACAGCTGCTGTCAATTGATTTTTTGTTTATCTCTTAAATATAAAGTTCACAGTATGTGTATTATAAATTATTAAAAAGATTTTTTGACAGGTTACATGGTCATATATAAATGGTTATTTGCAATATAACCCAAGCTATTATTTGCGAACAACTGTTTATATAGGGCCATATAACCTGTTAAAAATCTATATAACTGATATTATAAAAGCAACTTCACAATTAGCTGAACCACTTTATGATTCCTTTTAAAGACGTTTTCGGTAGTTTTCTGTGCGCATCGTTATGCGCTTCCAAGAAAGATAATCACGGATAATTACTCTTCAAATGAAGGTCAAGTTGAATAGTATTCGGGTAAGTGTTTAAATTTCGGCTATAAGCAAATAATAAGTAAATAATACAGAATAGATATTTCTAAATGTTCAAAAGGAGATCGGTTCAAAATAATAAGAGGTCGTTTAGACAACATCACATAAAGGATTTCTCCAAGCATTAGTACGACAGCATTGATGATAATTCTGCGCGCGTTACCCCACCCACTTGTGGTATAGTGACGAAAGTGCTTGATTACTGGCAGACAACTGGGCAAACAAGTTTAAAATGATATATTTTAAAAGTGTTGAATAAAAAAAACAAAATTAATATCTAAGAAATGTTCCGAATTTCGTTATTTTCTTTGTAAATTTCTGAATACTTGCTTACTGTTCGGGTATGTTAGTCGAGAGAAAAAAATAATATGGCCCTAGATATGTTTTAAAAAGATATTCAGTATCATTTACTTAATATAACATCAAAAGAAAAAGAATTTTTTATTACAACATGTTTTTGTTGTATATTTACAATACATTTAGTATAACACTGATATTTCTTAAGAAAGCGTGGTAATTTTGACAGTTGGCATATGCGGTAACCATGGAAACTGCCCGTTTACAAAAAACTAACACGTCAACATACATATTTTATTTCTATTTTTGAATCCACCATCAAATGTTACTTGATACATCAATAATGTAGAAAATTCTATGAAAGAAATTTATTGATAGCTTTAATTTTTTTACAGAATTCATGTTTATTTTTCTCATTTTTTGTTTAGTTAAGGTGACAACAGACACTTTCCGTGGTACTCACATAAATGTCATTTAAACCAAGTTATTTTAGTAATAATTGTTATTCGTTTAATCTTTGTGCATTAAATATCGTTGATCATCATAAAAAATAACATATTTGAAAAAAAGCCTTTGTAAATGATTGATTTTGAATAAAAATCCTAAAATTTTAAATCGTCATATCAAAGTCATTTTTTTGTCATCAAACTTTTGGAAAATAACCATACTTATATTATCTGGGGAACCGTGTCTCAAATTTTTTATATCTTTTCTCAAAAAAATATTACGTAACGTCAAACAAAATATGCGACTTTTTTCACCATACATATTACGTAATTAAAGATAATTAAGTCGCTGATTGAGCAAACAAAAATCCCTGACACGGTTCCCTCCGTAAATGAATTTCCTTTCATGTGCTTTAAACCGCATGTTAATTGCTTGATTATTAAAAAAGTTATGCCGATTCAAAGTTAGTCCGACCCGCATCAAACGAAGTGTCATAAATCGGCTGTTCTCTCTCGGACCCCTACGTTTCACGCTAAATAATTGCATAATACACAAATATCGCACCAGAGAGGGTCACAAGTTGCGGTAACATACTCTAACAACATTTTATGACCCAGTGACATCTGACCAATTAAAAAGCTGCTGATTAATATCAGTTTATAGCCGAAATTTCTTCAATTCTTAACGTGATTTACTGTTCGTCTTGTATCTGTCGCACATGTCACGTGACTATCGGTAAAATTTGAGGCACTCAGTGGGGGCAAATGGAACGCATTTGCGCACCGCTAGGGGGGTATTTAATTGTTTCCTATTTGAAGTATATTATTATTATCATCAGCATTATTATTGTATTATACCAGTGTCACTCTGCATGTGTATTCGTGTATGAAATTCCGTTAAAATATAAAATAAAATAACAAAAAACTGAGCTTCTGACAGTCTTTTAAAGTCCATGGTAGATGTACAAATAAGAACGGGATAGTATATATTTTTTCCACCAAATTGATAATGCTTCACATATTTGAATAGAAATAAAAGGCATTACTCGATCATTATGATGTGGCCTTCTTGACTTCTATTATCATGAATATCATCTATGCACGGCATAGAGATCCAGTTTCTACCGGGATAGACAATAAATTCCATACTTTGTCCCAGATTTATTAGTACTGTGTCGGATTTACTGGCGAACAATTTATTTTCACTGAGAATATATTTTAATATCTTTTTTTATTCATAGAGAAATAATCATCCTTAGACAATCTAAAATTGTTTAGATATTTGTCAGGGACACCTTACCACAAGTCATATAAGCGTTCACATAAAAAATGTCGTCTGTTGTTGTTTTACTTGACATTGTTAGAAAACGAGGTTGAATGTAAAGTAAGCCCTTGAATCCGTACAAAAGTCTATCAACTCAATGTTATATATATCAGATTAACGGGATAGACAAATTATTTTCACACATTATGGATATTTTAGCAACTACATTTTTAATCAACCCCGTGGTCGTGCGATTTGCCGCTATGCTTAATTATTTATGTTTCATACATTATGTTACGTACATTGGCCGACATTTTCTTAATTTAAAAAAAAGGCTAAATGTTGAGATATTCATAAAAGATGTACGGTAGATGAACTATACATGTATTACGAGAAGTATGGACCAGTATGGACCTGTAATTCACGGATATATGGAACTACCGATTTCCCTCATTGATGCCTCAACAGGGGGCGGAGCGTTATCGATAATCGACAGGTTACGCGAATAGCAGATACAAATAGTATAGGTACCGTTTTAAATCGTTTAAAAACACATTTTTTGGACTAACTGCTTCCAAAATTAAATCACGAATGTGTTCAGAAAAGGTTGATAAATCTACTCAGCAAAAAATCTCATTTTAGGTATTTTCAGTGATAATTGACTCCGTTGTCACCTTAAAAAGCATGAAAACTTATTTTTTAAAGAAATATGTTCCAATTATCGTTTGTTTTATACAGAACCCTAAGATAAAGCAAGCTTTGTATAAAATTATGTTTATTGTGAGTGTAATAAGCTATTTTATACATTATTATAACACAGTTTGGCTATTTTGACAATTTTGAGATATACGGTTACCATGGAAACTGCCAGTTTTCAAAAAATCCAACACGCCAACATATATTTTTCTTTTTCTTTTTGAATTTGTCATTAAATTTTACACAACTTACAAAAAAATTAGAAAATCCTATGAAACACTTTTTTCAATATCTCTTATTATTCTCAGAATTCATGTTTATTTTTCTCATTTTTTGTTCGGTTGAGGAACATGGAAAACTCATGTTTTAAAGAAATATGTTCAGATTATCATTTGTTTCATACAGAATCATTAGATGAGATTATCTTTGCATAAAACAATGCTCGTTGTGTGTTTTAAGCTATCTTATACATTTTCTATTCGTTATAACACAGTTAGGCTATTTTGACAGTTTTTAGATATACGGTTACCATGGAAACTGCCATTTTACAAGAAATCCAACACGTCAACATATATTTTTCTTTTTATTTTTAAATTCGTCATTAAAATTTACTCATCATACAAAAAATTTAGAAAATTCTATGAAAGGATTAATTTTTCATAAAACTGTAGAAAATGTCTTTAACTTATATATGGGAGACAGGGATGTTTTCCCTTCTATAACGGGCCATTTAAGAGGGGCTTCAGACTTCCAAAAAGAACAATTCTTTAAAATCATTCAGTTTTCCAAACAAATTGAATTTACATCAATCCCCCCAGGGCAGGGCTGCCTTGCCAACCTGTGAAAAAAAGCCCCAGGAGAAGATGTCTAACCAACTGGGTAGCTCAGTCAGTAGTGCCACGGAAAAGTATTATGAGGGTCCTAGGTTCAAGTCTTGGTCAGGCTGCGTATTTTTCTCACCCTGTGACATTTATATCAACTTACCATAGACTTGGTGTCCTCATCTTCCATCATCAGCATGTTAAAAGCTGCCATTTTCTTACCACGTTTACCACCAGTATCTATAACACTATCTTCTTCTTCTTCTTCCTCACTATCTGCCTGCTGTTTCTTCTTCTTTTTCTGAAATAAAACAATCATTATTTCAATACTTTGTAATGGTACAAACATTATTCCATAATTCTGTGATGGAGCAATCATATCTTCAACATTCTGTAATGGAACAATTATTATTTCAATATTTTGTAATGGAACAATCAATATTTCATAATTTTGTGATGGAGCAATCATTTCTTCAATATTCTGTGATTGAACAATCATTATTTCAACATTCTGTTCAGGAACATTTATTATTTTAAAATTCTGTAATGAAACAACCATTTTTTCAAAATTCTGTAATAGAACAATTATAATTTCAAAATTCTGTTCCAGAACATTCATTTTTCAAACAAGAACATTACATGGATATTGATTAAAGATTTTCACAAAAGGCCTTATTTTATTAAAATATATGCCAAGAGTTGTGGACCTTAGACCTTGACCTTCAATTAAAATCTCATATTTTAAGATTCAAGTGCATGTAAATACCTTCAGTAACTTTGAAGGCAAAACTTAACCAAGAATGCTTGAGGTAAGGTCTTTAATTTGTGACTCCTTTTATAATCTCAAATAAGTGTGTGAAGTTAAAAGCAAATATCTTTAACAGTTGATGAGATATGGTATTCAACAAGAAGTTGCAAGTAAACTGTGTGAAGTGTTATGCAAATGTAGACGCCCAGATGAGTAGAACAGCCATTCTTTGAACAGTCAAATTCTGAGTGAAAACCTTCAGCCCTTCACCCTTACCACATAAATTTCAGGACTTTAGAAACCTTCCTTCAAATGTTGCTTTAAAAACAATATCAGCAGACATAAAATACCTTTCCAAAGATTCTAACACTATTAATCAAACATGTTATTAATGAACAGCTTGTAATATCAATATGTGTAAACATACTACATTTTTTGTTAATGGAAAACTACAAACTGCATGCAGATGTTATGATAATCACATTGAATTAATGGAATTTTCAGCTACCTTTTCTTTTTTCTTCACAGGTGCTCTTTCTTCCTCGACACTATTTTCTTCCTTTCTTCCTTTATTGGCTTCCAGTGATAAGGACTGCAGTTCGTTTGCAACGTCGTCTTCCCTATAACATGGAAAATTTTCAAATTGCAAAAGAAAAATTATTGCATAAAAATGAATTAACTGTAAACTATATTGGCTGTCACACACTTGACCTATTAATAAAAATCATAAACAGTTTTCACTGATCATACATAAATATGAAGGGAGAGGAGGCCTAGTGGTTAAGGTGTCTCCCTCTCACCCCTGTTGTCATGTATTCCATTTAAAGCTCTACTGCCAGATCAACAGAACATGTACCTGACTGCTGGTCCTCTAACATTGATCAGTTCTACATTATGACACAATCATGCCTTAATTATACTTTACAGTCACTGACATAATATTATCTACATGTAGATATAGAGGTATTCACCTCAAATCTAATGTTAAAATTGTATAAACATATTATTAGTTCTTCATAATAACAATATCTTGCAGACTCAATAAAGATTAACTCAAATGAATATCTTTGTTTATAGTTACTTCATTTATTGAACACAATACAAATATTTTATTACCAATCATCATCCTTTTTCTTCTTCTTCTTGTCTTTCTTTGACTGTTTGCCCACAGGTTTAGCTTCAGTTGCCTCAGATTCTACAATATCTACGTCAGAATCTCTAAAAGTAGAACATACGTTGTAAGCTATTTCTTTGACACACTTACAAGTAATTACAAAAAATACAAGACATTTTTGTCACGTCATAATTTGTCTTTTTAAAACAACCTACATGCGCTTATAGGCTGACTTTGCCATCAGAAAACCGATATTTCTATTTCATAGAAAGATTCCTGTTAGATGAGTGAATATTCCCTTTCGGTGGAATCAATAATCTTTAAAGTTACAAATTTTTTCATACATCCCACAGTCTGACAACACTTTTAAGCTAGAAACTCTGGTAACACCCCACTATAAATGTTGTTGTTTTAAATTATTATCTCAAACTTTGACATAGTAGGATCAGCATATCGAACTGTTATTTTTGAATCATCACTCACAAAATTAAATGCTATCATTTTTAATTTTTCAAAAATTCATAATATCATCATGACATGAACAGAAAAATGTATTTCACTGAATTAATTTAAATGGGAATGAAAGTGAATAATAGACAGGTAACTATGAGTATTGAGTTATTATAGATATATCAGTGTATTGGCACAGTATCGCAGATATTTGTCATTCGATATTAACTACATTGTGACAAAAAGAAATACGCTAAAACTAGATTTTCAACTGGATTTAGAGCTCAACACTGGATTTTTTATCAACTGAAATTTCAAAGTGCACTTGGCACATTGGTAAAAGAATCCATATAAAAACATGACTCAAATTTAATAATCACTGGTCTATATCGGTAAAACTGGCTTTATCTAATTACAGTTTGTTTATACATTGGTAACACTCTTGACTTCAACTTAGTCTGTATACTTATTTTATTCAAGTTCTAGAGGTGCGCGGTTTAACCGGTATACCACGGTCCAAGACATCTGCGGTACGTACTGCGGTACAGACCTGGAAAACCGGTACTTTTAGCTCTAATTTAAAGCAATTTAAGATCCGTAAAATGTACTTTATTAAAAAACTTTTTCTATTGTATATGTTAATGTTTCTTTGAGTAAACCTTTTTGCAAACAACTTTCGCCGACTATTATCATTCTTCGATAGTTCTTAGCGAAAATTGAATGCTTTATCGATTACCGCATGTAAGCCAGAATTGTCGACTGGCATGATCACAGTTGAAGAAGCAAGAATTGTTGACTTACATTTACTTGTCCAAATATCGCTTATTTGATACGAAAACTAATCGTAAAGATTGATAATTCATGAAGGCATTCCTTGCATAAAATTAGGGTGTTACTATTTTAAGTATTTATATAAATAGCTACCAATCACGCACTTACTGCATGCGCATGGAAATTAACTAATTATAGAACGGCGTAGAAACTGGATTCTATTACGTCATACCAACTGTCCGTCTCAAATGAGATGTGCGCATACCGTGACCGAGAACATTCAGTACGCATTTTGATACCGTACCGAACGGACGTGGTTCGTTTATTAGACCGAGAGTTATAATCTCTATTCCTAGATTAACGCGGTTAATCTATTTTATTTCATATTTTCTGATAAATTAGATATTGTATTCTCACAGTATCAATTTAATTTCTTTTCTTGATATATATTTTGTTTATGCGAGGCATAAACTTCAGTTTTTTCTTTCGGCTTTGAGATTTTCATTCCATGTGCTTTTCAAGATGGCGGATGCCTCTACATCGGGAAGAAAAGTAATTAGTCAAGGAACATCTGGTTCGAACATGACTAAAGATGTCAATAAACAACCTGATAAATTGTTGTCGTCTAGTAAATCTGTTGCGTCCGAGGGTCGTAAAAATGAGTCTCGTGGTAAAGTGTCCACTCAGAAAAGTCAACAACCTGAGAAAATAAATGACGAAGTCATTAAAATTTTGCAAGAACTAAACACTAACGTAACAAAACAAGGTTCTAAACTTGAAAGTTTATCAAAAAGGGTAGACGATTTGTATGTTGAATATGATGAATATTGTTATCCTGACGACAGTTGTAATGATGGGTTTTCTGACGGTCATAGCGTCTTGTCCAATGTCAGCGAGTCTGGTGAAGATTCCCAGCCACCACGCAAGAGGGTTTGTAATGAGAGTGACATATTTAGGAATTTGTGTGACAAATTTCAGAGTGCGGAAAAATGTGACACTGAAATAAATGACGATCTTGCTACTTTTGTAAACAATTCTTTCCGCAATGGTATTGCTGAGGATTCTTTGTCAAACATTGTTAAAGAAATTCACAGACCCGTTAATTGTGAGTCATTGGTGAAAACTAAGGTGAACGGTTGCATATGGCGTTTGTTGAAACCCCAATCACAGTCTGACGATGTGAAATTTCAAGCCATACAAAATGTTGTTGTGAAGGCTGCTATAAACATTTCCAAATTGTTGGATAAAGAAGGGGAAAAATTAGATACCCAGTCAATTGAATGGGGCACAAATGCCCTTGCTTTGTTGGGGCAGTCTAACAAACTCATTAACAACAAGAGGAAGGAATGCCATCGTTCGGATTTAGATCCACGATATTACCCTTTGACTTCTGCAAGCCTACCGTTTACAGAAAACCTGTATGGTGATGATATTAACAAAAGTGTGAAGGATATCCAGGACATAAGTAAAATTGGTAGAGATGTTGGAAGAAATCCTTCATTTAGGCCATTTGGTAGAAGACGTAGTGGTCGGCCAGGCATGTTTTCTCGTGGTACTGGCAGAGGTTATTTTAGGCCAGGTCATGGTTCTTCAGTCGTTCCACCACCAAAAAACTCCCGTGTGGGGTACAAGAACAAGTAAATCAGGTCAGTAATATTTTTCAGGCAGGTAGATTGAAATTATTTGAAGAAAATTGGAGAAAATTGACAAGTGATGAAAATATATTAGACATAGTTAAGCATTGTCATATTGAATTTTTAGAAGGGCATGATCCTGTCAATTACGTATGTACAAGGAATAATTTCAGTGAAAATGAAAGTAAAATTATTGATCAAGAAATAAATAAAATGATTGATATGAAAGTTTTGATTGAAGTTGATCATCATGAAAATGAATTTATTTCTCCAATTTTCTTAGTCAAAAAGAAGAATGACGAGTTTAGAATGATATTAAATCTTAAATTATTAAATGAGAGTATTGTTTATCATCATTTTAAAATGGAGACATTTGAGTCTGCCCTTAAACTGGTAAAACCTAATTGTTTCTTTGCAAGTGTAGACTTAAGACATGCATATTATTCAGTTCCCATAGCTACGGAACAACAAGTTAAGTTAAGATTTCAAAAAGATGGGAAAATTTTTCAATATGTATGCCTGCCTAATGGTATTTCTTGTGCCCCAAGAATTTTTACAAAGTTGATGAAGCCAGTTTATGCATCACTTCGCATGCTTGGACATGTTAATTCAGGGTTTATTGATGATTCTCTGCTTCTTGGAGATACATGTGATGAATGTCATCTGAATATTACAGATACAGTTAATTTGATGGGGAAATTAGGGTTTATTGTTCATCCCCAGAAATCTATTCTTATCCCAACTAATAAAATTACATTTTTGGGAAATGATATTGATTCCATCAATATGATTGTTACTTTACCGTTAGATAAAGTTCAAACAGTTGTCCAAGAATGCAAAGTGTTGTATAGACAGAAAAAGGAAAAAATTCAGCAAGTTGCGAGGGTTATAGGCCTTATGATTTCTACCTTTTCAGCTGTAGAAAATGGTCCTTTGTTTTATAGACAAATTGAGAATGAAAAAATTTTGGCATTAAAGCAAAATAAAGGGAATTACAATGCATATATGATTATATCAGATGAAATGAAGGGAGAACTTAAGTGGTGGATTGACAATCTAGCCACCGAAAAAAGACATATTAGTCATGGCAATCCAGATTTGACTATTACAACGGATGCAAGTTTAGTTGGCTGGGCAGGTATTTGTAATGGAACAAAAATAGGAGGTAGATGGACCTGTCTAGAATCTGTTTTTCATATTAATGTTCTCGAATTGTTAGCAGTTTGCCATGCTGTCAAATCTTTTTGTTTGCACAAAAAAGACATTCATGTAAAAATTTATACAGATAATACTTGTGTTGTTTCTTATATCACGAATAAAGGTGGTATAAAATCTGAACTTTGTAATAAATATGCCAAAGAAATATGGCTTTGGTGTTTAAAGAAAAATATATGGCTTTCTGCTACACACATTCCTGGTATTAGCAATGAGGCAGATTTTCAAAGTAGAAATTTCAATGAAAATGTTGAATGGCAACTTAACAGAAATATTTTTAAACAAATTGTGAAATTATTTGAAGTGCCAATAATTGACATGTTTGCCTCTAGATTGAATAAACAAGTTGATCGGTTTGTTTCCTGGAAACCTGATCCAGAAGCGGAGGCAATTAATGCTTTTTCTTTGTGTTGGTCAGATGTATTAATTTATGCATTTCCTCCTTTCAGTTTAGTTGGTCGAACAGTACAGAAACTGAGAGAAGACAAAGGGGAAATGATACTGGTGGCACCTCTTTGGATAACACAGTATTGGTATCCAGCAGTAATGCAGTTGTTAATAGAAGTGCCTTATGTTTTGAAAGTGACTACAGACACACTTATTCTGCCAAATACAAAGAAAGTTCATCCACTAGTAGGTCATCTACACTTAATGGTATGTCGTTTGTCAGGGAATTGTTCCAAAGTAGACAGATTTCATCAGAGTCTACCGACATCATCATGGCATCGTGGAGACATTCCACCAAAAAACAATATTCATCGTATATCCACAAATGGGTGGAATTCTGTAGTAAAAGGAAAATTGATAAATTTCAAGTTACTGTAGACAATATTATAAGTTTTTTGACAGATTTATTTCATTCTGGTTACAAGTATGATAGCCTAAATACAGCTAGAAGTGCATTATCTTCATTATGTATTACTGAAGATGGTTTTACAGCAGGTGCTCATCCTTTAGTGGTTAAATTTATGACAGGTGTGTTTAATTTATGTCCACCAAAAAGTAAATATAATGAAACTTGGGATGTTTCAAAGGTACTGTGTTATTTAAAGACATTGTCACCAGTAGATAGGTTGTCTTTGAAACAGCTAACTTGAAAGTTAGCTATGTTAATAGCTCTGACTCAAGCAAGTCGGTCTCATTCATTAAGTTTAATAACTATTGATGGTCTAAGGCAAGATCAGGATTCAATTACTGTACAATATTGCGGGTTATTAAAACAGTCTAAGAAAGGCAGAGATAATCCAGTTCTTCAATTGAAAAAATATACTCCAGATAGGAGGTTATGTGTGTATAGTGTTTTTCTTGAATACATAAACAGGACTAAACATATTCGAGGAAGTGAGTCAAGACTTTTTGTCAGTTATATGAAACCACATAAAGCTGTTACTTCTACAACTATAAGTAGATGGCTAAAATCAGTTATGTTTTTATCAGGCATTGACATTAAAAGATTTCAATCTCATAGTATAAGAGGAGCATCTGTATCAAGAGCTAAATGTTTTGGAATTCCAATTAAAGAAATCATGAAAGTAGCAGGTTGGTCAAATGAAGCAACTTTTGCAAAATACTACGATAAACCTATTAAAGATAGTCTTTACGAAACTGCAGTGTTCACAGGATTGACGGAATGAATCGTGTTGGTATGTGAATGTTTATTTTTTCCGTTCATGCAAAAAATTTTTGCTATTTGCTTTAAAGTCTCATTTGAGACGGACAGTTGGTATGACGTAATAGAATCCCCCAAATAAACTAGACTTACCTTGAGTCGACGTTTGGTTGGGATTCTATGTAGTCATACAGCAACTGGAGGGATCAAATGCCCGCCCATCCCTCCCTGAATGTGTGTGACACATTCTTTAATGCATTTTGCATTTAGTTTTTTATTTTATTGAAGCAAAAATTATTTTGCTTAATGCTTTAAATACTGAATGTTCTCGGTCACGGTATGCGCACATCTCATTTGATCCCTCCAGTTGCTGTATGACTACATAGAATCCCAACCAAACGTCGACTCAAGGTAAGTCTAGTTTATTTGGGGGATTAAAAGTAATGTTCGTTCAACTAATGAATATTAATTAAGCAGTAACATGGTCAGCAGTTTTCTATGTGATAATTTTAATTTGCTTTTGGGGTACATGTTTGTTTTGGTTTTTGACACAGATTAATTAAATATTTTGCCCTTGCAATAAAAAAATACAATAACAGCTGGGACTCTGTTATAAAATTAACCGACAAATAAATATTTGTCATCGGCTAACGTGCATTTGACCTATTATTTTATTAATCAATAAGCAATAAAAACATTTTATTTCTCCATTTCAACTATGCAATTTATACAACAGTTGTTAAATGTTGAAAGAGACCAATATGTAATTAAAAAACAACAACAAAAAAAACAAGAACTGATCCATGACCCAATTAATTTATGATTGTCAACATGCAAAAGTACCTGATTGAAAAAAGTTAAATGATGCTTTGATTAATCAGTATTTTCTAGATCTGCTTAAATTTAATATTTGAAATTCTATACCAGCCTACCTTAATTGATACTTATTATTAACCTATAGCATTCAATGAAAATCCGTGGTATACCGCGGTTTATACCGTGGTTTTTAGGAAAAAACCGTGGTATACCGTGGTATTTTCTTTCTGGCGGTACCCAACTCTATCAAGTTCAAACGCAATCAGCTATGGAATCAGCCTTATGGCAAAGTATAAAATATTACGTAATGTTTATGTATAAAACATTGTCATATGATGCTGTCGTTAGGGTAGGGGGAGGCCTTAATCAATTTATCATACACATTCAGTTAAGTTTTATACTTAGCCATGAGGTCCTTTTCTGGTTTTAGTTTGACATGTTACGATGTATTATGATTGAAAAGGCATCTACAGTTATTAATTACAAAATGTTAGGAGAAACATCATTTGGATCGGGGCCAGTTTGATAAACTATTTACTTGCCCATCATGAACTTTCACTTGCAAATGCGAGGTGGAAAGTGGATTTGTCCAGCCCTGAATATATCATGCTATAAAGTGCTTGACAATTCATTGCTCCTTATATTAAAATAAAGCTATTGAAAACATGAAAGAGTTAACTATACTTTAATTTTGATCTGACAGTGAAATACGCTAACGCAAGAATAAAACTAAAACAATCATTTTTCAAAAAAAGCAAAAACTTTTTCATTTTATTTTATTAAATCCACATTTGGCCTTAATGATTGTGAATTTTTTAAAAGAAACAGTAAAAATTACTGACAAGCTAAAACAGTTTAATCACACATGTTTCTGTTGCATCCCAAACAGGTTGAATGATCCAGTCTAAAAATGCGGCATCAATCAAAGAAAATCAAAGGCGGTGCCAATATATGCGCCAATTTCTACACGAAAAATTTACACAGTTGTTGTAATGTAGCACATGTAGTAGCTACTGTCAAATAAAGACTGAATAGACTGAATCACAGTGTGTAAACTGGTAACCTTTTAAAGTGACAGACGACATGTGTAACTGTTAAGTCAAAAACATGCAGGGATAACTTCGGCAAACAAGGGGCACGTGAAACAGATTTGTGAATTATGTCACCTTCTTGACAATCAACAACAACACAATATCAATTTGCTATCATCCAGAATATTGACAGATAACAATCAGAGGCACGGTTTACATATTATATACAGGTGCTGTGTTTGACTTTTTATGTTGACATCACAACAGTCTTCGAAATTAGCACTCACCCAATCGCCCTGGCAAGTAAATATTAAATTCTGGCGACTAAAAAATCCAATTTTGCTCGCCCGCCCGGCAAGTAAAACTTCCGATCCCGAAATTCATTATTTGCCATGTCACTACTGTTTCTTGGCTTACTTCCGTTAGTCATGTAAAGCGAGTAATTTATTGGGAACCAACTCTATTTATGTTCCGTTTTCCATTGTCAAGTACCTTGAAAAATGATTTTCATGTACAGCAGGGAATAACAATAAAATAAATTACGAGTTGACACAAGACTTGTATTGGATTTCCTTGTGTTTATTTACCTTCAGCATTAAAAATAAGGAAAAAAACATCAAAATTTGAAAAATTTATTCTGGCTAATAAAGTTGGTTTCGGGCGAGTAACTTTTCAAATGTTACTGGCCCGAATGGCCAGTAACTTCAAAATGTTAATTTCGAAGACTGTCACAGAGACGAATATAGGGAATACAATGTCTAACATCGGGAATTGGGATTTTTTAGAATCCCATTGGGATATTACACCTATGTATTGATATATCGCTGTATGCTTTGCACTGGAATCAATGACATCAATGACAATCTTCTTTGTTAAAATGAAATTTGAGAGAAAACAATAAAATGTTTGTCCAGAAACTGGTCCAGCACACTAAACGCTTCTCAATGAAGTTTTATAATCATCTAACTATCTTTTGTATTCCAATCAGACGCATTATATTTTTTGTAATATTATGGATACCACGAAAGAATACAGGTTTACTGTACTGTATGTATCTAAAAAATGTGGAAAACATTGACGTGAATTGTGTGGCTTTAAATAAATTTTATCAAAGATACAAATGTACATAAATACAGTCGCTGGTTGTAGACTTGTAGATGAATACTATCTGAATTAATGTTGTTGCCAAATAATTAAAAAATAACATTCAAATAGTTTTACGTCTTCTTTTTTCGAAACCAACGTAGATTTATTCTTTCTTCATAATTTCTGACAAACATATTTTCACTCTTTCGAATTATTTTTAACGAAAGTAATACCCCGATACTTACACGTCGTTATCCTTTGCTTTGTTTTTTGGTTTGCCCATGTTTTACGAATTTTTGTTTATTTTTAGACCTTATTTTTAAAATTTCACAACAAATTGTGAAATTCAAGCAATATGTGCTTTTTTTACCACAGCATGTAAACAATCACTTCCGGGTCATCATTATTTAATATATTTACGAATGATTACATGTCGTTATCGTCTATAACTTTTTTAACATCAATATGGGTAACATAACAACGACAACAATATAATAATAATAATAATAAAAATAATAATAATAATAATAATAATAATAATAATAATAATAATAACAATAACAATAATAATAATAAACTCTCTATTTTAGGAAGGTAACTTATTAAGACAATACATCAAAGCATTAGAGACAACACATACATTTGTATAATGCAAAATCTTATTTTCAACATGGCCTTCATTATAAAGATTACAATATTCAGTAAATCTTAATCAACACAGTAGACATTTGTATTACTTTGTTAGATTTTGCGATGTTCGTAAAATTACTGTAATTTCCTAAAAAGAACAAGTAAGAAATCAAATCTTTATTTACGAACGGTGGGCTAAATTTTATGGGAGATTATCTCCATTCAAGAGAAAGGTGAAAGACAAAATAAGTTTACGTTTTGCTGTAATTCCTTTCAATTGCATGAACTACATAAATCATGCAACCAATGTTCATTTCTATGAATATCAAATGGAAATTATCTATGAAGTTCAATTTATAAAAAGAGTGGGGCTGTCTTTTCATGTTTATAGGCATATTTATATTTTATCCTAAATATTTTCCAATATAAAGTGTTTGTCAATCAACATTATAAAGTCAAAGGTCTCAAATATATTGTCAGTTCAGTTCAACTTGACAATGAAAAAAAACAACGCATAATGTCACCTTAATTTGGCTGGGAATATGTTGATATCAATATCAGAGAAAATGGTTCCATATCAATGTATTGTGTTTGTATTTCTGACTGCAGCTTTATGCCTAACTGGTTACTTCAAGCATCTTCTCATGTGGAAATCTTAATGACACAAGGGAGAGAAATGTGGTTGAAGTTTAAGACTATACAGATCTTACATGAACTAGTTATACATCAGAGTAGAGACATTCACATAAATTTTGTAGTGGGTCACCTTAGGATCACTCCAGGTCCGATAATGTTTAGTCAAAATGTTTTAGAAGTTGGAATTGTGGGTTGTAATTACAAAAGAACAACAGAAAACATCCCATCTAAAAATCTCACTTCTTTAGTTATCAAGCAGGCAAATGTATTACATGCACATTAATGTCTTTTTTTATTGGGTTTTATGTCACACTAGCACAGTGTAGGTCATATGGTGAATTTTAAGCTTTACTGGTGGAGGAATACCTCGGGCACTCCTATGTGCATTATTTCAGGCACAAACGGGCACCAGAGTATATCCACCAATGTTCTGTAAGTTAGCTGGATAACTTTCTCACATGAAGTACTCTGAAGATACTTGCGTGGCTTGACTGTACACCTCTGAGTGGAAAGTGGATTGAAGTAAACAACCTTGACCACTCGGCCTCAGACACTCCTGACACAGTAATTCTACGGGATAAAATACTCAAGGTTGGAAAAGATATTCATTTGCCTGAGGTAAACAATTGCTTAATGGGTAAGGTATCGGTTAAAAGATAAAGGGGAACTTAGATGATTTATCAAAGGACAATTTTAGGAGGAAAGAAAAACAAACAATTTCTGTGTTTAGCAATCACCCACTTTAATCAAATACTTGACAACAGAATAAAAACAAGACATTCTAAAAACATTTCAAAACCACTAAATATATATATCCCAATGTAAAAATTAGTCATATCATCTACATGATCTATATGAAAATCATGTCAAGCCTACAAATCATGTTTGTTTCAAAGATAAATGACGGAAAGATAGCTCTTCCCCTTTTTTTTAACAATTTTGAGAATATGCAATTCAAACTAATGTTGATCATTTGAATACATTTTGCAGTCATGTAAAGGAAAGGGTAAATAGCAAAATTTTGGGTTTGTAAAAACTTGAAACAGACATTTCTTTGAATTGAGAAATAAAGTACCATATACCTGATTTTCTTAACTTAACTTAACAATTCCGAAACAGGATAAACATGATGTTTAAAACATTTTAAATGAAAAACACAACACAACATACAAGTTTGTAAAGTTATGTTATAAATTTCAAACAAATCAATATATAATTTCATTAAAAAAAAAAAAAATTGAGATAAATTGAGACATTTCATACCCAGACAACAGTCTCATCTTATTGTATATATAGTATAGTTGACTAATATTTATCACATCTTATTATCAACACCCTATTGTAATTAAGTAATTAAGATTTACCATTATTATAACCACTTTCTTTGATAAGTTACCATCCCTTCCTTTAATATTATTATTAGTGATTGTAAAAACCATTTCACATCTGAAGATGGGTTTCAGACCTATGGGAGACAGAGAGAATCACATGTATAAAACTAGTGATCACCTTGCCCATATTGATTAAATATTGATAAAAAATGGACTAGATTTCTAGTACACAACATGAAACTATATCAACAGGTGACTTGTGGTTATGGGGTAAGTGCTTCATATGGATCGCAACTTATATGAGGATAAAATATTGGTGATTGTCAAAAATATTTTGAAATCATCGCCATTTAATGTTACTTTTTCAGTGGTCAGTCGTGACAAACATTATCTACAAACACTACTGATGCAAGTTTTTAACTTCTTTTTATCTCAATCATATAAATTAAATTGTGCAATATAATAAGCTTGTGTTATAGGATTTTGACAGGTTACAAGTCATGTACTTGTATATTTATAAACAATTTTCTATGTAACACTAGCATAGTCACTAGGTTTATATATAAACTTAAAACTGTTTATACTTAAGAAATAATATATCCCAAACAGTGATTTTATCGCTCAATAACATCACTGTTTGGAGTTCGGATGCGAGGAATTATATCACGAGGGCGTAGCCCGAGTGATATAATGATGCGCATCCGAACGACAAACAGTGATGTTATCAAGCGATAAAATCACTGATTTGGATATATTATTTCGATTCTAACACGACATCAACAAATAAATGTTGCCGTACTTGATAGTTAAGCAAAATTCGCCTGATTTGTTTCCGTACTTATTTTCAGCGCGTCGGATTTTTAGTGGTTACGTCACGTGTATAATGATTAAACGTCACATGTCTAAATATAGAACGTCAAACTGTGCATCTGTTGCATAATAACACACACTTTCTGTTCTTCTATGTTCAATAGGGAAAAATGCGGGTCGTGTTAGAATAGTCACTAGGGTTATATATAAACTTGCAACTGTTTATACAGGTTCATTATAACCTGTCCAAATCATTATAGGTGAAGGTCATAAACGTCATCTACAACTCATTTCCTCCAGACAAAAAAATATGGACACACACCACACATCTTTTAAGAGTTCATATAGAGCAAGTTTATTTTGACATTACAGAACTGACAGAATAAGAAAAAAATTTCATAAAAAAAAAAATTAAAGATAAAACTTATAAATATGCATAAGCACCTGTATATACATAAATATAAATGCATACAATACCTAGCACACATATTAAAGCTTATGTTGATATTGAAAACTGTATAACTAATTATTAATCAATTTAGTAAATATATTTTTGTAAACATCAGAAAAACAGTCCTTGACATATTCATTCTTATTGTACCAGTATCCATCAAAGAATGAATATGGCAGTGTCTGTAAAGACAGCCCGTACATCAAAATCCTCTTCCAAGCAGTGAAAACTTTAACAAGGTTAACATATTGCACCATTTGTTAATCAGACAAATTTTACACTATAAAAGTTATGTTTTCTCATAAAGAAAGATTCAATGTAGCATTGTAGTAATCTAGATTTGGACATAAATCTCAATATAACACATCTATAAATCTTTATATTGTATCGTAAGTGTTTACCACGTGTTTACCACAATTATATCAGCTATTTCTAATTCTTTACATGAATTTCTTGACCAATTTATTTTTATAGTGATAACAATGTCTTTTTGAGTATAATTCATCTGTACATATCCCTATATTACATTACAGAATTATGTACCTTTAATAACAATAATAATAAAATAAACAACAATCTTGAGAAATGTAAGATTAAACAACATCACTGGGGAGAAAATTAAAGCTTTTTATTAAAGTAAATCTAAACTTGTGTTAAAATTTAAAGATCTAATGTTCAACAAATCGTGAAACACAGAAATATTTACTATCTCCCACCTTATGTACACATGACAACAGGCTGGTAATAACATAATTTATTCAGTACTTTCATCATTATTAAGTCATTTATTTATACAATCAATACATTCTTACTATACACGTATGTGTGTTGTAATTTAAATACAAATAAAACCTTTTTTAAGTATTCTCCTATGATAGAATAGTGTATTGCACTAACAACAATCTATACTGGCTCTTTATTTTTTTTGGGCTGTAAACTATATGTTTCAAATAACATACATATACATATAACTGGCATTATTCTATTGCAAGAATTCAGGCGCTTAATTTTTACAAAATATTATACAAGCATATAATACATGTAAGTGTAAATGTTAGCCTACAATACACAATCATATCGGTTGTGACTGTGTATTGTAGAAGTTTAAATTAATCAAAAATAATTTACATCTGGATCAAGTGAAGGTATTAAGTACAATTATTACATAATGTGAAGCATCCAACAAAATTAATCTCATAAATTTGTTCTGAAGAAGTCTTAACATTGCCATATTATATGGGTCAGTCACAAATAGGGTAATATAATATACTTTTTTAGTGAAAAAAAAAAGATCACCATCATTTATACATAGCTAACCTTTCACAAAAGATGGACAGAACTTGAAATTGAAGCAAAGCAAGGAAATTAGCAGTAAAAAAAAGAAGCCATTTTAGATAATTAGTACATTGATTTTGCTTTGAAGCCATAAAATGTCTGAAAATGTTAAAGTGTCGGATAGCTTTGTCCCTGAGGGAGACTAAGTATTTCACTCAGTAATAATAATTTTATAATGACAATGTTGAAAAGCTCTGTTTTTTGTAGGAATTTCACTTTGCATTTTCTGTGCTACTGTCTGCCATATTTTGGGTTATTTTTTTCCAACTAATACTGTATTTTTTCCAGCCATATCAACCGTTGTCAGTAATAAAATTTTACATTAGTATAAAGTTGTTTTTGACAAATAGCTGATGTAACTAAGTAATTTTGATTCATTCTAATATTAATATGTTCCCTGCTCCCGTACAAGGACTGATAAATCACTGGTAGAAGTTGGTACCTTCCTACTGTGATAAATATAATCAAATCTTTCGTGAACAGGGACCGAGACTTTAAATAAATCTGTATTCTAATTTCTATCAAGTATTTTCCCATTCACTTTATATATATATTTAATATAGGACCTAATTAACAGACTTGAAGAAAAAATAAAAACAACAAACAAGAGCGATCAGTAATCACATGTGTCGCCTCATGATGGCCAATTTTATGTTGGGACAAATTTTGTGACAGACAGACAGACAGACGGACAGTGCACAACTAGACTTGGTACTGATCATTCCTGTAAAGTTTGGATAAAATTGCACTAGTAGTTTATGAGGAGTAGTCCGGACAAGCTTTTGCGTATCTGGCAACACACAGAAAAAAAACACCTTTTTATCAAAGGGCCATAACTCGGCCAAAAATCATTCAACCGGAAAACACGTGCAATCTGCGCAAGGACTTGAGCTACAGATCAATCCTGTAAAGTTTCATTGAAATTGCATTAGTGGTATAAGAGAAGTAGTCCGGACAAACTTTAAAAATAAAAATTATTAAAGGACCATAACTCAAACAAAAATCATTGAACCGGAAAATGCTGACAATATGCACAACTAGACTTGGTACTGATCATTCCTGTAAAGTTTGGATGAAATTGCACCAGTAGTTTATGAGGAGTAGTCCGGACAAGATTTTGTGTATCTTGCAACACACAGATAAAGAAACCTTTTTATCAAAGGGCCATAACTCGGCCAAAAATCATTCAACCGGAAAACACGTGCAATATGCGCAAGGACTTGAGCTACAGATCAATCCTGTAAAGTTTCATTGAAATTGCATTAGTGGTATAAGAGAAGTAGTCCGGACAAACTTTAAAATTAAAAATTATTAAAGGGCCATAACTCTGACAAAAATCATTGAACCGGAAAATGCTGACAATATGCACAACTAGACTTGGTACTGATCATTCCTGTAAAGTTTGGATGAAATTGCACCAGTAGTTAATGAGGAGTAGTCCGGACAAGTTTTGTGACGGATGGACGGACAGACAGACGACGGAGAAGTGATCCCTATATGTCGCCACTACTCCGTAGAGGCGACACAAAAATGGTCCCCTACATATTACTGCTAATTTCCATCCAAGAAATAAAGTTTTAGGTGATTTTATGAGTCTTGAGTACAATTGTGCAACCTAACTAAATACGTAACAGTGTCTGTACATAACAATATACCAAAATGATGATACTTTATTCCAAATTATATGCAAGTTTCATATTAACAAATTTTAACCAGTAATGGCGAAACCTTCAAATGGCATTTTTTCATCAGTTTCTTCCTCATCATCATCAAATACCATATATACAGTACAATATTCAACAAAGAAATGATAAAATTATCCCAATCTGTTTTGCTGATAAGACAGCCAATTAAAACAGGTAATATCGGCGGACCTGCCCATGGATGCTGAATCTGTTCCATTCAAATTTAACTCTTGCGTACTGCACTGCCCCACGAACAAATATCATAAATCCTGAAATATTACAAATAGTAAATTCAATACAAATGGTGATGTCAACATTAGCTGTTTCCAAACAATTATCAATATATAAATAACCACTACTTCATATGGTTTACTTACATTGAATATAATCTTTAAATAAAGTAAAATGATACATATATGTACTTTGTACAGATTAACCTTTTTACTACCACTTTGGCAGGTAACATGTACATTTTTAGTTAACTTAATTTAAAGTGTATGTTGAAAACACGTATGTAACTATAAACCTTTAGAATGCCATAATTTTTTTAATTATTTTCAACCAATGAAACATCAAATTTACATTGAAATTACCTATAAAAATTCAAAGATGGGCATGCTTGTTGTAAGTTTGGTATTGGGATGAAAAAAGATTAGAAAATTCAGCAATGGCCAGGCTAGACTCCTTAACTTAGAAATTAACTTTAAAAACTAAACAAAAAGGGAATTTATGTTATAAAGCTAACATACCACAGAAAATTAGAAGCCACCAGAGCCACGAATCTTCTTCAGCAAACCCATCAGCCCATTGATTATGCTGTAATATAAACATGTCATGTATAAAATACCTATACACCTGTATATACCATCAAGTTTCTTGTTGCTATACAAAATATTTTTGGATAAATGTTGATGACAGAAATGAACAACAACAGATAACAACTTCAGTCTGGTGTGTTCATACAAAACAGAAGATACTCTTTCCTTCAACCGTGGCCATGTGGCCAAGTGGTTAACACATCTGTCTACAGGGTGGGAAAAATGTGCAGCCTGACTGAGACTCAAACCCGTGACCTTCGGAATACCGAACCGCGGCTCTATCAATTGAGCCATCCAGCAGCTTACACATCTTCTCCCCTATATAGTGAACAGTTCTGAGTGAACACTCCCCCTTTACTGAAATTTGTCCTTAAACTTTGAATAGTTACAAATCAAAGTAAATTAAACTCAGAGCTATATTCAGTCACAGTCACCTGTTAGGTGACAAATGTCACAAGATGAGAAAAATGTGCAGCCTGATGGGGAAACAGGGACCTTTGCAATACCATTCTTAAGCTCTACCGACTGAGCCTACAGGGTGCTTACACATCTTCTCCTCTATATAGTAAACAATTCTGAACCGTGACACTAGTATACATACCTTTACAATGGCAACCCATTTTACAATGCTAAGCCCCAGTCCAGACAATGCCCCACATCTCCCAGCCACAGTCTGGGATATACATAGAGAAAACAAGAATCCGATCCAGTTGAACAAAAATGACACTGAAAATATACAAGATCAGCATTAAACATCCAGTAGTAGAAAAAAAGAAATCTCCAGTACAGAGTTCTAAGATTGGTTTTCTGTTGGGTTTTAAGTCATAACAATACTGTTAAGTTGCCATGGTGCCATTCCAGCTTTCTGGTGGAGGAATTATTTTAGGCATGTGCAGGTACCTGAGTAGGACCAACGACCTTCTGTAAGCCAGCTGGCTGGCCTTCTGATATGAAGGAATATTAAGTAATTGATGGGATTCAAACTTTCACTGGTGGGGGTCTCTAAATATTTATCAAACGCTGTAAGGAAAAAATGTCTGCAAGCCAACATACATGTAAAATATGGTAAATTATGTTATACGTTTCAAATATACTTGACCTTCATCATCTCATCAACCTGTTTCTAACATGTAAAATATAACTATTCTCAACTTAAGACATTACAAACTATATTAATCTAGGATACTACAAAGTTTAAAAACAAGCGCTTCAATCTGACCTTAAAGTTATCACAATATTTATCAGTATATTTCAGCATTGTTCAAGTGCATCTTTTTAGATAAAAGCATCAAAATATTACAATGAACATAATAGAAGAAAAGTTTTATTTTTGTTTTATCAAAGTTGTATACATTATGAGAGAAATCTCTCCCCCCGCATTGCTCCACTTATCCCCCCTCCAAATATAACTATGGGCACACATCCCTTTCCCTCTAAAAAGAAACAAGAGCTGTCGGTAGGACAGCAACGCTCGACTATTCTTAGTGCTTGACAGTAAAAAAATTCTTGATACAGTTACCTTCTCCTGTTTACAGGTTGGGGTCATGATGGTGAACAAGTGTGCAAAGTTTCAAAGCCATATGTCAATGGACTTTGAAAATATTTGAACTATTACAAAAACTTTAACGTAAATTCTAAGTCGAAAAAGGGGCATAATTCTGTCAAAATGCTTGATAGAGTTACCTCCTCCTGTTTACAGGTTGGGGTTATGATGTTGAACAAGTGTGCAAAGTTTCAAAGCCATATGTCAATGGACTTTGAAAATATTTGAACTATTACAAAAACTTTAACGTAAATTCTAAGTCGAAAAAGGGGCATAATTCTGTCAAAATGCTTGACAGAGTTACCTCCTCTTGTCTACAGGTTGGGGTCATGATGGTGAACAAGTGTGCAAAGTTTCAAAGCCATATGTCAATGGACTTTGAAAATATTTGAACTATTACAAAAACTTTAACGTAAATTCTAAGTCGAAAAAGGGGCATAATTCTGTCAAAATGCTTGATAGAGTTACCTCCTCCTGTCTACAGGTTGGGGTCATGATGGTGAACAAGTGTGCAAAGTTTCAAAGCCATATGTCTATGGACTATGAAAATGTTTGAACTATTACAAAAACTTTAACATAAGTGGTTACGCCGACGCTCGGGTGACTGCAATAGCTCTACTTATTCTTATCGAATAGTCGAGCTAAAAAACACTGGAAAATAAGAAATTATTATTTTTAGTTAAAACTGGTGAAACCCACCAAAATAAACATTATTTTGAGAGGATTATAAATAGATATCACAGACTAATTTTTGTTACTTCTAATTTTGAAGAAAAAAAATTTGTCTATCTCAATCAAAACAATGTAAGACACTAATTCTATCCTATTCTATAACTTTGATATAAGTTAACAAATAATTTTCATTATATGTCCCAGAAAATGCAATGTTCTCGTCCGAAATTTCATTGATAAAAATGAACTAGTATACCTTATATAAAGAAAAGTTTAAACTTACTAATGAATGTACAAAGAAACATTCCATCAGTGCCAATCGTAATATCTGTGAATCTGTCATGTTCCTCTTCCCTCTGTCTCTCCAGGTCTGACTGTATCAAAGCCTCTGCTGCTTTAGATTTCTCAGCTTCCTCGTAGGTTGGTAATGTGGTTGCCTCTTGGTATGTTGGCAGCTTGGTACCAAAACATTCTTCTGTACAACATATAATGTGGGTATATTAAGGGATTTTAAATACATTAAGAAAATATCTGAATAAATGAATGACTGATGATGATGAAAACTAATGTGTTATTTAACTTATTTATCAAGGGTATTTTTGTAAAAGGCTTAAGCCTAAATGATCTCAAATAATAAATATACATGTAGGCAACAAGTCTCACACATTTATATTTTGAAGGAAAATTAGCACAAATGGATTATTTCTCATATACTATCAAATAAATATATATTATTATTCTTCAAATAGGATTATGTATTGAACAATAACTAGATTAAAACATGTACAACTACAAATAACATAAATTATATATATATACAATGCACTACTACTAATGTTTGATCATGTATGTTAAGAACTAAATTTTAAATACAGAAAACTAAATACTACATACTATATTACATATTAATAATCATAATTATGTATGTTAAAATATTCATCAAACATGAACAATTATTGACAAAGATCAATAGATGGCATGTCATAGTTTAAGTTAATCAATAAACTGAATAAAAAGATGCCCAGTTTATAAGAACCTATTGTAGTCTAAATAATATGTATAATACATGTAAAGTACATGTATCATATAGATTTTATATAAATCAATAACATCTGGCTACAGAAAATGAAATATGTATGACACATAGATATGACAGTATGCCTGAGTGTTTACTTAAATCATATAAATCTAGATTTTAGTGGTAAATAACAATAAACAATCCTTAATGCTACATCAGTCTTCTTAAATTGTTATAAAATTATATAAATGGCTTTCTCTGATAAACTCAAAGTGCAAATTTCATGTTCTATTAAGTATCAATTTAATCACACTTGTAAATATGTGATGTAATTCATGTACATGTAGAAGGAACCTGGCAATAATACAAACATGTGATGAAATAGTACCACCTAAGTTTGTAACTATACAGCTCAGACAGATGAAGCCATATACATACACGCTCTGTACTAGATAACATGTAAAAGTTTCGAATCAAAGTACTTCTTTTTTTTTTGGTTTGGTTTTATGTCGCACCAACAGACTAGAGGCCATATGGCGACTTTCCAGCTTTAAATTACTGGTGGAGGAAGACCTCAGGTGCCACTCTGTACATTATTTTAGGCAGAAACAGCCACCTTAGTAGAACCACTGATGCTCTGTAAGCTAGCTGGATCATTATCCTAGTTTTCTCACATGTAGAATCAGACGATATTTGAGCGACTCAAACCTACTGTGGTGAGAGGCAAGTGAAGTGGTTTGAACTAAACGACCTTATCCACTAGGTCATGTACATCATGACGCCCTTCTTCAAAGTACTTTCACAAAGACCCTTTTCTTACAGACTGTACATGTATATGCCTTCTTATATCTGAACTATTTTCTCAACCATAACATAATTATGTTTAAACATAATGTGAAAATAACTTTATGGGCTTAATTATTTGTGAACACATGTATCTACATGTATATGATTTCAAATCACCACAGTTAGCATGATACAGTTAATCAACAACATTTTAATATAATATTGTCTGATGATTTAATATGCCCGCAATTGAAGTGGCCTTTAGCTTTGAATTATTGTTGGAAAAACAATTCTGTGTTGTAACAGTATTGTTTCAAACTAAGTATTTCAGTAATTTTATCTTGGAAAAGTGAATCATATCACTGTGAAACCTTCTTCAAAACAGAATCCCAAGAGCTATAAATTTATAACGCAGAAGTGAGCGATTTATAGTGCATAAGTGATGTTTGTTTCTAAAAATAGAAGATCAGGAAACAAATGTCCAGTCCACTCTACTTATTTGCATACAGACAGCTGACCGATTTATTAGAGGTGTAAAGGGGTTTCCTTATTACAAGTATTTTTTCAACGGTTAACTTAAATTTATGCATTAAACCTATTGTTTAGTTTTGCCAGATTAAAGTTAGTACCAGAGTTTTGGTGTGTTGACTCTTCAACTTGTGGAGGAATGACCATGGCTAACACAACTGGTTCTGCTGGAACCCTTTCTTCTTCTCCAGACAACTGAAATTCACAACAAAATACCACACAATGTCAATTGTAAAATGAATTTCTTTATTAACATTAATAACAATTTAAACAAAATATACTTTCTTGTCCAACTATCAATTATACTTTCTAGCGTTTTACTCTATGTCGTGTCTTTTGTTTTTTTAAGGGATTTTTCAATGTAATTTTAGTTATTTAAATAAAAAGTGGGAAATTTCCTGTCTATTATTAATGGGAACAATGCCTATTTCCTGTATTAGTTGTACAAGGAAACAAATGCTAATATTTTCCTTACATCTACAATAGAACAGAGTAGGTGTGTTAATAGTTGAAAGGATGCAATATAATTTAGCATGCTCTATCAGTATACCCACTCAATTTCAAATGCGAGGGTACATGTACCACCTGTCATTAAAAACTGGGGGTACATTTCAAAATTTGGCCTTTTGGGGTTTTGCAAATTTTGTTTATTCAAAATTATATACTGTTACATTCATTTGAAAATGCCAATCGTTTATCTATATTTTCATTTCAAAAGACATTAAAGATAATTGATAAAAGTGACAAGTGTAGTGGCTAGCTGTACAGGCCCATATTGCCAATGTACAGCTAGCCTAACTGTCTATACATACTGTTGAGGCTAGCCATACAGCACCTTTAAAAACAATAATGAATATGCAAACTTGTGTTTCTAAAAGAAGATTTTATCAAATATCATGAAAACTTTATCAATTACAGTAGTTATATTAATTTTTAGCGTTTATGAATGTAAGTTTTTTCTCTCTGAAAATCACAGTCTTTAATAATTAAAGTCCGTGAGAAAATACAAAGAGAAATAAATTGAAACATTGAAATTTAAATCAGTGCTATATAGATGTAATAATTTGTAATAAAAATTTCATCTTAAACACTTTTAGCGGGCATTGATAATTTCAAACTGGTTGTTTGCTCAATATTTAAAGATGGAGCACATCTGTTTTTCAAGATTGCATTTTATATACAAGATTCATAAACCAGGATATCAATAAACCAGGAATAGATTATAGAGTTCACACTGCACTCGGTACTAAGTTACCCCAGTGTGACTTTGAGTGTCTAAACTCTAAACCAGAACTGTATATAGGGTTCATTTAGTTTTTTATTACATTATACTGTGCTCCTCTTAGTTCACGGTACTTAACACTTTAAAACAGTAAAGAACACAAACAATAAACTTACACTACAAAAACTGTCATAAACTGTATCATTTAGTCATTTTTCTGCTATATGACACAAGGAAACAACAATATATTCAATCAAAATTAGTTTTAATTTGTCAGATGTAAACAGTGTGTCGGCCATTTTGAAAACAGTATGTCATCATTTACCTCGCGGTAATGGTGTTTTATTTCAGTTTTTTCATGTTTCAGTTAAAATTTCTTTAAGTTATTTTGCATAATTTTAAATATTAAAAGTATTTTTACATTGAAACTCAAAATTTATTTTTTCAACAAACAAAAACATTTAGAAAATGATGATTGTTTCAGACGTATGCACAATTTTAATGGACTACTGTTGTTTTTTGCAGAAGTTTGTAAAATGTTGTTCAGTTTTACGTAAAATTCTATAGATTTAAATTATTTTGCACAAAACCTTTGTTGTTAAGGTGTTTGAATAAAATATGTCAATTCTGACCAATTATAACACTGGTCACATGAAAATATGCCATTACCGTGAGATAAATGATGACGCGGAATTAGTGATGTTGAGTATAATATACAACAAAATGTATACAAGATATACTCCTGGAATACTGTTTAAACAGGGATCTTATCAAGGAGATTACCAAGCATTTTTCATGTTAAACACTGTTGTTTGTTAAACAATGCTGTTGCTAGCTGCCCTTAAAAAACATGAGTGGCGAGTCTGTTTACCCTACCATGTTCTGACATAGTATGCGTTTTGAATTTAGTAATAACCTGAACAAAACATTGTATCTTATTTGTAAAAAAACATGAATGCTTTCACTTCAGTTAAATAGATACCATATCTCATCAACATTTTCAAGTCAGGTCACTGGGTCATGAGCATCAATTTTTTCACACATTATTCTGAAATAGAATAACAATCGTAATAAACCGGGAAAAACATTGATTCCTTAAAGTCCTTACCACTTCATAACGTATGTTTCTATCCATTTTGAAATAATATTACCCTTAAAACCAATAAAATATTTTTTCTAGGACTCAGCTGACAGACAAACAAAGATGGCGATTGACAAGTAGATAAATTCGAAACGAATTCTGTATGGTATCGTCATGGGAACTAACAGTGTTGGATGGATCGTCATGGGAACTAACAGTGTTGGATGGATGTTAAGATGCTTAATTTTTTTAATTAGTATATCACTACCCCATTAGTTTTGTAAAATGTTTTCGTCAAGATTATATTTTTTACGTCTACTTCTGCTTCTAAATTGATGATTGTACTGTAGACATGTTTTACCTACTGTTAACTGTGACAATAAAATTTTGAATTGAAATTGAATTGAATTGAATTGAATTGTTCAAAATCAAATACACTCAATTCACCCAGATTTCCAAAATAGAACAATTTGAAAACCCTGGTTCAAAAGTCAGTTAAATAATAATATAGTAAAAGTATATAGAGGATATTCAAGTTTTTTCTATAAAGACATGATTTATTTTCATCAAGTGGTATGAAAATAAATATTTCATGAGTGGCGGTAGCCACGAGTGAAATATCGTAATTTTCATGCCACAAGATGAAGATAAATCATGTATTTATAGAAAAAACTTGAATTTTCTGTTTATTATATACATTTTTCTCTTTTTTGACATTAAAATTTGAAAGACTTTCCCTTAAATTTTGTGTACTGGCAGAATTTAAAAGAAAGTAGTCCGGCAAGACACCAGTGAAAATACGGAAAATATGTTTCACTGCAGTGAAAAAATAATTTTTTACAGTGAAAATACGGAAAATGAAAATATGCATTTTATTTCATCAATATTTCTCAATATTTCATTTATAAGTATATAATAAATAAATATCTTTTTTCTCGATAATATTTAGATAATAATCCTTTTTTTCCCTATATGTTTTATAAGTTAAATATCTAGATCTACCTTATTAATATCTTTTTCTCCAACTTTCAAGTTACATTTCGCCTGAGACAAAAAAAAAAAAAAAAAAAAAAAAAAATCAAACACGCTATAAAATATTCCCTTTCAAACAAATTTGTAAACAAACCCTAAGAAAAAGTAAAAGTATATATAAAATATTATTATTTTCCCCGGATTTATAAATAAAGAGCCAAAATGTTATTAAACTTGTTGTGTTGTACTATGATCATGGTCTGTCTATGTGAAGCTCTATTTCAGTCCATGGCTGAATGGTTAAGGTCGTTGACTTCAAACCACTTGCCTCTCACAGCTGTAGGTTCGAGCCGCGCCAGCGTCTTTGGATTCCTAATGTGGTAAAGCTATCCAGCTAGCTAAAGTGGAAAAGCATAAGCATGGAAATTTGGTGTTTTATGGTCACGTGCTTTCACTTGTACAAGCAGCAAGACTTTTCTCGTTTTATTGTAAAACTGTGTTTAAAATTAACAAACTATGGCAAATCGACAGGTTAGACGTCGTCTTAGTGAAGATGAGATGAACAGGGGTATTGGAATGTTGGAAGCTGGCCGTTCACAAAGGCACATTGCCCATGTCTTTGGGGTATCCCAGAGCGTTTTCTCCAGGATATGGAACCGATTCCAAATGACTGGAAATGTCTTGCAGGGTCAAGCCGGAGGTCGGAAACGTTCAACGACTCAAGTCCAGGGCCGATTTATTGTCCTTCAGGCCAGGCGCCACAGTTCTCGAACGCTACGACCTAACATAACGACTTTCATAATGCAACTGGTGTGCGTGTAAGCACACAAACTGTTAGAAACAGGTTGCATGATGCTGGGTTGAGATCACGGAGGCCAGCAATTCGCATTCCTTTGACACAACGCCATATTCAAGAGCGTTTGCTATGGGCGCAGACTCATTACAAATGGGAAGTTAATGATTGGACCACGGTCCTCTTCACTGATGAGTCAAGGTTTTGTGTGGACTTCACGGACAGACGGGCTAGGGTTTGGAGAAGTCCAAATGAACGCTTAGCTCCAGTATGCGTTGCTGAACGCGACTGTTTATGCAGGGGGGTTCAGTCATGGTGTGGGCGGGAATAAGCGCTCAGGGGAAAACGGACCTACACATCATTGAAAACGGTACACTGACGGCAGTAAGGTACGTCAATGAAATCTTAGACGTCCATGTACGCACGTACGCTGGCGCAGTCGGCCCTGATTTCATTCTTATGGATGACAACGCCCGTGCACACAGAGCCCACATCACAAACCGATATCTTGAGGAGGCAACTATAGTCCGCATGGATTGGCCAGCGAGGTCCCCGGATTTAAATCCAATTGAGCATGCTTGGGATATGCTGCAGAAAGCCATTTCTTCACGCCACGTCCAACCAACAACAGTTCAGGAGCTAAGACATGCAATCATAGAGGAATGGGCCCAGATTCCTCATCACAAGGTCCGCAGGCTCATCAGCAGCATGCGGCGGCGATGCCAGACAGTAATTAATGCCCGCGGACAGCATACTCGGTATTAAGCACCCTACACCAACCATTTCCTGATTTGCAAGATTTTTTCCCCACTTTGTGATCTCCAAAATGTTGATTTTGGCCCAGCACACTCTTTCCGCAACAGGCACACGCCAAGGAACATAAAAATCAATTCGTAACTAATTATATTTAATTCCTTTTAATAAATTTTCACATTTATTACAAATACACAAAAGTAACGCACTGTAGAAAAAGTGACCCTTAGCAAATTTTGAGTAGTATATGTAATTCCGACATTTTCACAAAGATACTTATTTTCCAGGATAGTGCAACACAAGAAAGAAACAAACCGACCAAATCATGGTCAACACATTGCAACTCATGCGTTTTCAAATGCGAGTTAATGTACATTGTATATAACAAAACATACCATAATAGAGCAGCAGGTATTGTATTATTGGTTGTATAGTTAACAATAATTATTCCTGAATGCTATGTAATATCGTCATCATGAAAATTACCATGGCGACATTAGAATTTGAACAATTTGTAGAGAAAAGAAGTATTGCACTATTAAAATGTCTATCATTTGTTATCATTTAAGAAAATGTCATATATCAAAGCCATACCGTCAGGTATGACCCGAGACTCTCCGCTTAGCTGGACCTGAATTACACTTGCACAGTGTACACGAAAATCAAAAATGAAACATGCCTAGCAATTTTGATACTACATGTATATTACAAATACATGTATATCACCAGTGATTTTCTGTATCTTAAAATAGAATATAGGTATGTCTCGCATACAGATCAATACAAGAGTGAGACCTATGAAATGAATTGTAATTTTCTTGAAGCCTCATTATGCCTCAAATATGCTATCGTTTTTATTTATCAAAACCCTTGTTTTTCGTATCTTTTACAGTTTCCTTAACATTACTCATTTGCCATACTAGTATAAATTAACTAACATTTGCTTCTGTTGCTATATGAGCAATTGGTATAATAATAGTGAATATGTATTTTGTATGGAAGTGAAAATACTACTTTGTTTACATTTTGCTACCTTTATGATACATTACTGCACGTTCAATGCTACTTCTTCGTTTGTTAAACATCTAACATAGTTTTACTCTAAATCCATTATTAAAACATTTTAAACACATGTTTGGCATTTCTAAAGAATTGAAAAAATGTGGATTTCTGAGTCATAATGTGCCTTTAATCTGCTTCTATAACGGTTCCATGTCACATTCTTGTAGTCATATGTCCATTAAAGAATGCACTTCAAAACTATCAAAACTTTCGCAGAGAGATCCGTTTCACAATTCAGCAAGTACATGTATGTATTTATTCATTGAAATATAAATAAGATGGATGCTTAGAATTATTGTTACATTCGACATTTAAGGTATATGATTCACAACAATATATTCATCTTACACGTTGAGTAGTGGGGAAGCGGTGGGAGTCTGCCTCTCAACCCAGAGGTCATGGGTTCGAGCCCTACTCGGGTCACGACCATGTTTCTTCATATGACACCAGTACTGGTTGGTTCCAGGAAGCGGACTCGAAAGTGATTAATATAAGTTGCAAGAACATGTTTCGCAATCGAGCTTAAATAAATATTTTTAAACCAAAGTAATAATTAAAAAATCCCATTAAGGTCCCGCAAATAACAAATTATGCCTATCGATACAGATTGCAGAGTATTAAGTTGTTATACTTTGCTGACAGCATTTTTTTAACGAAGTAAGATGATAGTATGGAAATCATTGTGTCAGCAAATATATAATTAGGCAAAATTATATAAAGACTGAATACACAGTTTTTTCGCTATTAATTACACCACGATACATATTTTACTGATTAAATCCACTGATTGGAAACATGTGGTTATCGCAAAGGTGGAGTAGCTCTTTTACCCAGGAATGCTGGACAGGCTAATTGCTGAAAGCGCCAACTGTTGATGAGAAGTTTGTAGTGCAATATACACAAGAAAAGAACAAGAATTGATTTCTAAGATTTTATTTAATCAATGCCTGTCTGACAATGAAATTAATCTGTCAAGTATAATACTTTACCGCGATTTATTCAATATGTTCGTTTCTCATGGGGATAGTGGACAAGCGAGCTGGGACAGAAGTTATCTTCTGTCCCAGGTGAAAGTGATCTTTTACTGGGATAGCTTATAAAAGCAGAGGAGAAAAAATATAAAAATATACTTTCTATATTTATTTAATTTGAAGGTGTGTTTTCGTCATTAAAAAGAAGAAGAAGAAGAAAACGAGCATAAAATGTTGGTAAAAATACAATGTAGTTCATACCCATAACAAATTATTCATTTATAAATGAGGCAAAATAGGTTACTGAAGTGGCTGAATAATTATGTAAAATGAAAGAATATATTAACTTAAATGGTACAAGACATTGTTACTTTCTCTTTAGTCGGTAAAATATTCGCCTAAAATCCTTTTTAAGTGTCGTTCAAATACTTTTGGACAGAATGGACTCTGTCTTGATGTAGTTATATGTATAGGTCGTTCTATTGTATAGATAAAACTAAAACAGATAAAAAGTTTTTTTTCATTATTATAAAATAGCTACGATAATAATACACTGCATTAGTTATTAGAGAATTGGTAAACCTGCTAATATAATAACTACTTGTTAGCAAGTTGCTAATACCGTACATTATATTATCAACTTTATAGAGAGTACACTGCTCTTTGCATATTTATTCTATACACACATTGGACATGCGGAGCATAGCCAAAAATTAAACAGTTCGCCGATTTCATGTTGAACAGTAAACTCGGGAGTTATTTGTGTTGATTATCTGTTTTGCTTTAAGACTCTTGACCCAGTTTTTAATGATTGAGAACATTTACGCTCGCATAGTATTTAAAATGTGACAGTGAAAGGTGTATCATATATGAATATATTTAGTTATAGGATAATTAACTGTTATAGAATAGTTTAAACAAGCCGATTGGATATTTTAAGGTATGCTTTCATTTTGAATTGTAGTAATCTTTAAACCGGAAGTTTTTGTAACGTTAGAAAATATGCATGTATTTTACCACTTTGGTAACCGCACAGCACTAAATAAACACCTGTTTTATAATATAAATTGTTAATGTATGCATGTTTTTCATACAATAGAGTTCTTTCTCTATTTAATATGTTCTGTATCTTGAATATATAGCAGTAGTTGACAATGTTTATTTACAAACGTTTAAGTATTGTAGATCTATTTTGTTTACATTTATAACCTGCTATTTAATTATTTACTTATAAATTTGAAGCATATGTAGATTGAGGTAGCTATGATTATCAAATATTTGGTTATACAGGAGTTTACAGGTCAGTTACCCCATTTATTTAGGCTGTTAGAATGTTACATAGGTATCTTTCTGCATACGTATCTGCTTTATTAATTATGTCATTAGTGTTTCGTGTGTAGTTCATTCTATTAGGAATTAATGTGATAAATAAAAACAGCGGAATGGTGTATAGTATCTTTTAAGTACTGTAAACAGCTATCCCATGGTAAATGCTTCAATTAACATAACTATTTGCACATCACTTTCTAAAATACTGTACATGATTGTATAGATACAAAACGAAACATATATTAAACTGAAAATGTCAAGGTTACGGAGAATGACATGTCCTCTAGTAGTATTTTTGCAGTATGAAAAGGTAAGCTCTGTGAAAGAATAATTACTATCGACCGATTGCAGGAAAAGCATGTATAAGATTACTTTATGATTGTTTCATATAGCGTATATTGGAGAAAATATATAATGAACGACAGGCGGTCGTTTATTTTATTCTTTGCAAATAAAAACTACAGCTGGCATATAAATTCTTGAAATCGCATCAAGTTCTTTACTTCGCTTATTTAACATGACTTTGCGAGACATAAGCTGCTTCGAGCCATTTACAAATGCAGTTTTCATATCCTTTGTAAGATTGATTTTGTCAGACGCTATTCTCTTGGTAATTTTATCATCAAAGGTTTGCACAATGCTACTTGTTAACTTGTTAAATGATTGAAGCTGAGGAAATTTGCAGTCAAGTTCGTAACACTTGCCAATCTTAAAGGAACACAATCTAATACATGTATATAATATTCACTGAAAATCACTAGTGGCAGAACCCAATTTTCACTATTCTTTTATATGATAACAGACTATATTATCACATGTATGTGTTTAAAATTTGCCACAGATATATAACCTCAACGTTTATAGTTTGTCAATACCCCTAGTGGTTTTTACCCGGATCGTTTCAGTGTGAGGTAATTTGATCTATGGCATAATCATACTGAAAAAAATCCTTCCATTTGTAATTTATTAGCTTTACAAGTCCAGCATGTTGTGTAGATTTTAATGTGTAGTACACACAGATTAATTGTTATGCAACGTACATGTATTTAAATTATGTTTAATTATTCGCTACTTTTTAACTTTCTTATGAAAGAATATTCTGACATATCTTAGAATTGGATTTACGATTTGTCAAAATTAAAATAATTATAGGTTACAAAAACATAATAAAATTATATATAAAATTGGCATGGAAGTTGAATGCATCAAAATTACGTCCTTCACATAGTGAATGCATTTATTTTACGCCCTTCACTAATGTTACGCTCTTGACATTGTGAATGTTTCCATTTGACATATTTCAAAGTGAGAATGCATCCATTTTACGTACTTCACATTGTGAATGCAATCATTTAATGTCCTTCACATTTTCAAAGCAATGATTAAAGTGCGTCCTTCACACTGTCAATGGCTGATATCGCACAATTTTCTTAAACGTATGCAAGAGGTCTAGAATTGTATTGATTTGTGCAAAAGGATAATCAAGTTAATCATGAGAGAAGTATGTTTAATGCACATCAATATATTTTCTGAAAAAAAAAAAACATATTAGCATTAGTATTGACCAAGTACAGATTTTGATACACTTCTTCACCATTGTATTACATATCTGGTATGATTGTCAAATCATGGCATGATACCCATAATTCATTCATGAAATTATATGCCTTTACCAAGTACAGTTAAACACAAAGCAAGAACTTGAACATAATATTTTAGGATAACTGTACAACAACAACAACAACAACAACAAAATGACAATAAAGCAATGAACAATTTACTTCCTTTTATTTGTTGACATAAGGTAAAATAACTGTGGTACTGTCTTCGATTATAGAACTAGTGCTCGTTAATTATCAGTTTGCAACATATATAATGGAGAAAGTTTCCACGCAGCACAATGTAATGCTATCATCTACATATAGAAGCTGAGTCTATAAAATATTCTTCTCTCAGACTTTTCATAATAATACTGACATTTAATTATTTTTTCAACAAAATGTCATGCCTTTCCTTAGGGATTAATTTTTTTAACCATATTACATTATAGATATGGAAACATTAGTAATTGATACTTCTGTTAAATTATATTTTATAAATCGTGGAACAACGTCTCTAGATTGGTCTTGGTTTTTAAAGTAATTTATATGCTTAATATGTGAATACATTGAAGCCAATTATGCTGTATAAAATTGAAAACCTTTATCGAAAATATATATTTTGGTTTTGCCTCAGCCAAGGCATGGAATGTTGCGAGTTATTATGTTTTCATGTTGAAAGCTATTAAAGTATATCATGCACGCTATTTTGAATACACGGTTCAGTTTTATGATTAACGAATCTCAGATATACTATTCCCAAATACCCGTAACTCATTGAAGATGTATTTTATGGAGGATAATGAAATACGTTCGGTAAAACACATTTATTTGTTTTGGTAGACATAAATGTTGTTTTTTAATGTGGCGAAAACCATCTCATTTGTCAAAGTTTTTATGTATCCCTCTAGAATATTGGTGACTCCCATTCCTTAATTTACTTTGGAAGTTGTATCGATTCCTTAAATTACATTTCACCTTTGAATTCAAATGACTTTTGAATATTCATTTCTTGAACAGTTCTTTACTTGATATATTCAAAGTTCAAATAATTGTTACTGTCCAATAATGTTGAGTCTAAATTTGTGAATTTAAAAGTGTTAATGGACAGCACATTACTTGGACATAGACACCAATTTAACTGTGGTTGTTACTGAAATGTATTTGAATTTTGGAGAAATTTGTTGTAACTGGTTTTCCAGGAACGAATGAACGAACGAACAAACAAACAAACAAACAAACAAACAAACAAACAAACAAACAAACAAACAAACAAACAAACAAACAAACAAACAAATTAAATAACACACATTGCTTTATACACTGAATGTTTGCTTGAACATATTTATCTTTTATCAACTTACAATGCTTCATCACATACAGAAAATGTGTACATATATGATAAAGTGGATTGAATTGAAAGTTGTATTTTTAATACAGTATCTCCATAGAGCTATCTTTTTGCTCGAGATTACAATTTCATCAGCGTGCATATGATGCATTCTTTCTTTGCTCGAAGACCATGGGGATTTCTCTTTATTCAACAATGTTATAATGCAATCTGATTCAGATATCTGTTGGGATGATATTTTAATGAAATCTGAAAAAGCAAATAAGACAGCTTCACCTACGCGAACGGCTTTTCCTATTATTTCCTTGAAAACATTGTCATAATTTATTTACATTTAATAACGTCATGGTCTGAGGCATTGACAACAATTTTGTTTGTTATAACGACATAAACATTTTATAACTATTTGATTCTTTATCATAAAATCACAATTTTGTTTTAAATTTATTCACACTGTAATTTATCTTGTTTGCAACATATCGTGTTTTCACCATTCAAGGAATTAAGCGTGACTCGTAAGTAATTTTTGTCTAAATATAAATGCTTCTGAGATTAAGAAATACTTTGAACATCAGCATCATATACTATTATACATATATCACTGATTAAAACAAATTATACTCATGGAAAACTATATTTTGGTTATCATGCATTAGTCATAAAAGCACAAATTAATCATGTTCGGTTTCAATGGCATTTCAAGGTAGTTCATCTGAGCTAATAGATTTCCTCTTACTTTCTTTATAATATTTATTCGTGTTTTCGTGCTTTCAGTAGTGCAACGTACAACTGCATGCTTCTTAAATTTACATTACATCAACTCAATCTTAAATGCCGTCAGCTCTTTTTTTAAAAGCATATTTAAGACAAGGAAAATGGTGTATGACATGGTTACTTGGTATTCAGGTATAATGTGTACATTACGTCTGACATTAATGAACAGTAATCAGTACATCGATACATCTGACATTGTCTGGAAACTGTTGTATGCTGCCAAGACGTCTGATTCCTCATTGCTATTCACAAAACAATGCTTTGTTCAAATGTATTTGAGGAGAAATGAATTTTGTTGATGGAAACTTATATGAAATAGTTACAAAGCATTATAGATATGCTTCTCAATTTACATAATTTTCAACATTGCAGTTTCTTGCAACAGAAGAACGATAATTGCAGTTCTTATTGTAAAATTATAAGTTTCATTTGACGTAAAATGAGTTACAAGAATATCATCGAAAACGACTGGACTACACTGACAGAAATACTCCGGTATTTCTGTCATCGTTAACACTCAACTAGCTGAAACCGGAAGTGGTTATCCTTTGGAGGTAGTATGAAACGAGGGCAAGCTGCACATCCATGTAGTCTGACCAACCTCAACACTGTTGTTAGCTTACTTTTGGATGGTTTAATATTGAAAATTATTGAAATTGAATGGAACGATTGAAGTGTAAAGCTTGGCAAATTTACACACATTCAGGAAATTAAGGATTAAGTTGTCATAGTTTTAAGCGATATTCATCTCCTTTTAAGCATGGATGGGTAACAACTGTTTAGTATCTAGCCCTCGATATATACCAGTAGTTACACAAAAATAGGAGAACTTACAAGTTTGAACGACATATTGTATTCACATTTATCTTTTGTTTTCATCTATAGATA